TACTGTGAAGTATGTAAGAAAATCTGCATAACACACTTAAACAGTAGCTTTGCATACACTGTATGCCAAATACTACAGTTTCTTACATGGGTTGGCAGTTACACAATTGAAACCATCTCTTGGGGTCCAATACAATATGAAGTGGGAACCAGAGATGTTTTTGCTGAGGTTAAACTGTTAAGCATTGTATTGGCCACATCCCCGGTCATGTGATGTTCCTAACAGTGACATTTTGGTAGATATACATTAAATACACCTTTGCAGAATATACATTAAATACACCTTTGCAGTGTCAGATATTAAATTCCCCCAATCACATTGACTTTTAATTTTTGATAGCAGCAAAAGTTGCCCAGTGTAAGAAATGACAGTATACAATCCCACAAAAGTACATCATTTGTATAGTTGCCAGACTTGCACACCTTGAAGACACTAAATAATGTCAAAATTTCTTCAGAAAGCTGGGATTAGACATCAGTACAAACACATTATATGTTAATGCTGCACCTGAAATATCAATATGAATACTACTGATCCACACAATAGTCATGAAGTCAGAGTTGGCTGCTTGAAAAGCAGCATCTAGGAGACTTCCAGGCCATAAACTGAGGGTTTCTCAGCAGAAGGGAAATTAGCAAGAGGGCACAAATGACTGTATACTGCTCTACCTATGTGCCAATCCTGAACTACGGGTGTGAGTAATGGGCAATGACAACAGCTCACAGAAGCCAGCTTCAGGCCTCAGAAGTGAGGTACCTGATAAAGGTGGTTCAAATGACAAGAAGTGACAAAGTTTGCAGTAAAACAATTGGTCATGATCTTAAAACCCAGGCTCTACAAACTCGAGTGGATCAGTCACAGTTACGATGATTTGGACATGAATGCAGAATAGGAGAAATAGGCCACCATAGCATGCATGGGAGGCTAAAAACCAGGGAACCAGCCCACCAGGACTACTCAGTTGTCCAACACCCTACAGTCCCTAACTGACAGAGGACTGGAATGGAACAAAGCTAACAAAAGAAAACCACTGATAGCGAAGTCTGGCAGTCTCTTGTGTAACCGTCCAAACCCTAAGGTAATAGAGGAGCGAGTAAGTAAGTTCCACATAGTACAGAATAGAATCTTCTTCTTATCCTTTCCTTTTTTTCTTCTTCAGCATTCTGAACTCTTGAAAGTTAATTGCTGCTGATATCACCCACCTCTATTCATCTCTGTAAGGGGTTCATACATTCCTTGTTTCAAATCTCAGACGTCCCTTAACACTGCAGAATCCTTCTTTGTTGTTTCATGTCTCAGACGTCCCTTAACACTGCAGAATCCTTCTTTGTTGTTTCATGTCTCAGACGTCCCTTAACACTGCAGAATCCTTCTTTGTTGTTTCATATCTCAGACGTCCCTTAACACTGCAGTATCCTTCTTTGTTGTTTCATGTCTCAGACGTCCCTTAACACTGCAGAATCCTTCTTTGTTGTTTCATGTCTCAGACGTCCCTTAACACTGCAGTATCCTCCTTTGTTGTTTCAAATCTCAGACGTCTCTTAACACTGCAGTATCCTTCTTTGTTGTTTCATACCTCAGACGTCCCTTAACACTGCAGTATCCTTCTTTGTTGTTTCATACCTCAGACGTCCCTTAACACTGCAGCATCCTTTCTTTGTTGTTTCATATCTCAGACGTCCCTTAACACTGCAGCATCCTTCTTTGTTGTTTCATATCTCAGACGTCCCTTAACACTGCAGTATCCTTCTTTGTTGTTTCATATCTCAGACGTCCCTTAACACTGCAGTATCCTTCTTTGTTGTTTCATATCTCAGACGTCCCTTAACACTGCAGAATCCTTCTTTGTTGTTTCATGTCTCAGACGTCCCTTAACACTGCAGTATCCTTCTTTGTTGTTTCATATCTCAGACGTCCCTTAACACTGCAGTATCTTCCTTTGTTGTTTCAAATCTCAGACGTCTCTTAACACTGCAGTATCCTTCTTTGTGGTTTCATATCTCAGAGGTCCCTTAACACTGCAGTATCCTTCTTTGTTGTTTCATATCTCAGACGTCCCTTAACACTGCAGAATCCTTCTTTATTGTTTCATATCTCAGACGTCCCTTAACACTGCAGTATCCTCCTTTGTTGTTTCAAATCTCAGACGTCCCTTAACACTGCAGTATCCTCCTTTGTTGTTTCAAATCTCAGACGTCCCTTAACACTGCAGTATCCTTCTTTGTTGTTTCAAATCTCAGACGTCCCTTAACACTGCAGTATCCTTCTTTGTTGTTTCATATCTCAGACGTCTCTTAACACTGCAGTATCCTTCTTTGTTGTTTCATATCTCAGACGTCCCTTAACACTGCAGTATCCTTCTTTGTTGTTTCATACCTCAGACGTCCCTTAACACTGCAGTATCCTTCTTTGTTGTTTCATATCTCAGACGTCCCTTAACACTGCAGTATCCTTCTTTGTTGTTTCATATCTCAGACGTCCCTTAACACTGCAGCATCCTTCTTTGTTGTTTCATATCTCAGACGTCCCTTAACACTGCAGTATCCTTCTTTGTTGTTTCATATCTCAGACGTCCCTTAACACTGCAGCATCCTTCTTTGTTGTTTCATATCTCAGACGTCCCTTAACACTGCAGTATCCTTCTTTGTTGTTTCATATCTCAGACGTCCCTTAACACTGCAGTATCCTTCTTTGTTGTTTCATGTCTCAGACGTCCCTTAACACTGCAGTATCCTTCTTTGTTGTTTCATGTCTCAGACGTCCCTTAACACTGCAGTATCCTTCTTTGTTGTTTCATATCTCAGACGTCCCTTAACACTGCAGCATCCTTCTTTGTTGTTTCATATCTCAGACGTCCCTTAACACTGCAGTATCCTTCTTTGTTGTTTCATATCTCAGACGTCCCTTAACACTGCAGTATCCTTCTTTGTTGTTTCATGTCTCAGACGTCCCTTAACACTGCAGTATCCTTCTTTGTTGTTTCATATCTCAGACGTCCCTTAACACTGCAGTATCTTCCTTTGTTGTTTCAAATCTCAGACGTTCCTTAACACTGCATCATTCTCCTTTGTTGTTTCAAGTCTCAGACGTCCCTTAACACTGCAGTATCCTTCTTTGTTCTTTTTTTTTTAATGCCTCTGAATTTGAGGCTTGGAGATGTATTTCATGATGAAATAAGGTTTTTAAAAAGTGGCAGGTGTCTGCCTTATGCTTCACCCCCTTCCCCCCTTCCCCCCTCCAAGCCTGAATGACCAAGGTGTCTTTTTCTGTTCTCTCGCCTGTGACCGGCTTGGGATGTCCTGCTGGTAGCTGTGTTAAAACAGGCATAGCTGTCAAGGTCATTGAGAAACACAAGCTCTCCTGCCCAGCCAAGATGAAAGTATCTTGAGGGGAAACAGCAGAGATTTACCATACATAAATGTTTGTTAACTGTTTCAACTAGTTTATCTGTATGTGTTAATTTTCTCTTTATTCTCAGAGTGATGGAAATGCCGGTTTCCTGAGGGCGGCCAGAGATGGCAATCTGGAAGAAGTTCTAGAATACCTGAAGGGAAGTACGGACATCAACACAAGCAATCCTGTAAGTAACACAAGACTGCTTGAGGTGTTCTGTTTGACTGTTAAATTTGATTGTTGTAACAAAAAGTGGCTCGACCTGACAAAACCATGCATTGTTCATAGAAATTAAAGTATGGCAGAGATTCAGGAACTACAAATGTTCAGCAAGGGAAACATGATATTGGCTGTACATGATGAACTGTTGCACCAGGAGACAGATACTGATGGTCACATTCCCCAATAGATTCCAGGGCCCAGTTTCTGGATAAAGTAGATAGACTAGACCGGCTGTTACTTATTGGCAGACATGCTGTAACAGGTGACTTGACAGTCGTGACAGGTGTGGTCTGGCTAGTGAAAGTGAATAACAGTTTCATGATCCTTGAGTGCTGTGGATGGCAAAAAATCTGTCCCTATGGTTTTTGGACAGCAGTACGAGAGTCATACCATACAAGAGATTGGGGCCTCACTAAGTGATACACCCAAAGACAACACTGTAGCCAACCTTTGTTGTGGAGATGGCACACATCTTTGTTCTTTTAAAATAAAGCTGACTAAATTAAGGATCGACTGAAGTTGGATGTGTTGGGGTAAAAGATGCATATATCACAGCCTAGATGTAAACCACAGTGTGGCATGTCAAATGCCATTTTAAGGGGGAAATGCAGGTGAAAAAGATAATGATCACAGGTCTGATATAATCAGGGATCCACTTTCATGCAGGTTGTGCTAAAGGAGGGAGTCTGTGCAGACACACGCCACTAGCTGCTCAAATGGAATGTGTCCATGCACTTCATCATCTTGTGAGTGAGGCAGAACACTTGTAGATATCATCTGTGACTAGTGTTGAATGAGACTAGTTGTGACTACAAGAGAACAAGTGAAGAAAAGAGCCTTGTATACTTCACCAGCCTGATTTTATCTGTGGAACAAGTATCATGTAAAAAAATCGTTTCCATTTGGTGAGATGTGTGTGATACAGGCCCAGTATCTCTATTGTCTATCTCTATTGTATCAGTGGACAAAGCAGAGCATAAACAAATAATTCTGCTGGAGTTGGCAAGAACAATCCAGAACTCAGGCTTTTGAAGTTAAAAAAACAAAAGAGCTAGAAATTGAGGATAGGTGGCAATTGAAGCACATAATAACCTGCATCGTCTGTCACATGCTGATGATGATTCTATTCAGGTATTCATTTAAGGCTTGTATTCTTATTTGTTATTTTAGGTCCATACACCATTTGTTTCAAATTTTTTTTGCAGCCTTTTTACAGAGATCCCCTGTAGTCTCTTGTTAGCATTTCTACAATATTTGAAGTAAGTGTTGAACCTGGAACCTCAATAACAGTAGATGTGGAGGACAGTGGTAGTCACCCAGATTAGTACTTCCGGGAAAAGTTGCTGTTACCTGAAACATTTTGTTGCCTTTTATTTCTCTTTCAGAATGGATTGAATGCCCTTCACCTTGCCTCCAAAGAAGGTCACCTCAACATTGTAACAGAACTGTTAAGCAGAGGAGCAAATGTGGAAGCAGCAACCAAGGTAAATTTATCCAGGCAGTGAGTGCACAGTAGACCAGTGGTTCTCATATTTTTGGCTCTGTAGGCAACAGCAAAGATAATTGTATTCTTGCTGTGAGTATTTGAGAGGCCAGTGGTTCTAAGGCTGTTCTTTTTTACAGCAGCAACCAGGGTAATGTTGTCTTTGCAGTGAGTACATTACATCATAGACCAGTGGTTCTTAAACTTTTCTCCTGGCAACAACAAGGGTAAGGATATCTTTGCAGTGAGTACAGTACATCATAGACCAGTGGTTTTTAAACTTTTCTCTGGGCCAACAGCCAAGGTAATGCTGTCTTTGCAGTGAGTACAGTACATAATAGACACTGGTTTTAAAACTTTTCTTTTGGCAACAACCAGGGTAATGATATCTTTGCAGTGAGTACAGTACATCATAGACCAGTGGTTCTCAAACTTTTCTTTAGGCACAATCAGGGTAATGTTATCTTTGCAGTGAGTACATCATAAACCAGTGGTTCTGAAACTTTTCTTTGGGCAACAACCAGGGTAATGTTGTCATTGTAGTGAGTACATCATAGATCAGTGGTTCTCAAACTTTTCTGTAGGCAACAACCAGGGTAATGTTGTCTTTATAGTGAGTACATCATAGACCAGTGGTACTGAAACTTGTCTCTAGGCAGCAACCAGGGTAATGTTGTCTTTGTAGTGAGTACATCATATACCAGTGGTTCTCAAACTTTTCTCTGGGCAACAACCAGGGTAATGTTATCTTTGTAGTGAGTACATCATATACCAGTGGTTCTCAAACTTTTCTCTGGGCAACAACCAGGGTAATGTTATCTTTGTAGTGAGTACAACATAGACCAGTGGTTCTCAAACTTTTCTCTGGGCAACAACCAGGGTAATGTTATCTTTGTAGTGAGTACAACATAGACCAGTGGTTCTGAAATTGTTCTTTCTTTAAAACCAATCAAGACTACACATTGTCTTATTTTTCAAGCATGATTGCATTGGAAAGATGAACGTTACATATTATGCTACTCATGTGTCTCCATTGCTTGAATCATTGGTTCTGCATGTTGATTATTTTTTACATTTTATTTTCTGTCCCAAACAATGCACTGTGTGTGACTGGCTCTTCTTCATGCGTGCAAATCCAGCTGTCATGTAGGGTTTTACTTCTTGTATTTAGCAAGAGTATACTAAACAGTATAAAAAAGTTGCCAAACTGAATACACAGTCCAGAGCCATGTGGATGTGGAAGGCAAGGAAATCTTCCACATTATTATTCCAATAAAGTTATGGAAGTAAAAAATAAAACTGTTCCATCACCACAAATAATAGCAGAAAGCATGGTATTGGGAAAGAGGAGAAGCATGAAGATGGGCACAGCATACAGGTGACACCTGGTTAGGAAATGGAAATTCACAAGTCGGGAGATCTGGCAAGAAACAGTTTCTTTCAGGCAGACTATGATGAGAGCGGCACCCTGCAAAGGACCTGCTACATGATGATGATACTAAACAAAAAATATTATAGACCACATCATATGAGCTGTGTTCTCCTGTTCTCTTCCCCATGTTATCTTTACACCCTAGACAGTTCCCAGAATGCTCTGAAAATTTGTTCTGCACTAGCTGAGTCCAGTTAGAAAAATAATACTGCCTCTGTTGAAGCTTTAATAAAGACTTGTGTCTTGACAGGTGGACACACTAGTCCGTGACGCTCTAAAACATGAAATTGAGATTTTGTTATAGTTATTTCCTCGTTTAACTCTTTCAGTCCCAAGGAATGCGCCATATATTCTTTGGCTGCTACCAAGATGGCCAGTTAACGCAAACTGCACTAATTTCACGTCTCTCTTTACTACACCTTGGGCCTCTGATGCTAAACCCCCTGCAACTGGAAGATTGAAGTAAAGGAACCGTTTCACACCTTTGGGGCATCAGGAATGTAGGGCTTGACCTATATTTCTATGGACCAATCAGCACTTGATGAGTGATGATGTTGTCAACATCATGCCAGCCACCAGGACCTCCCAGGACATTACCTGGTACCCATTGTAGACTGGGTCAACATGGGTACCAATGTCAGTTGGGGGGGGGGGGGGGGGGAGAGATCCACCTCGGTGCAGATTTGAACCCTAGAATTTCATGACAGCAGTCCAGCATCTAGCTCAGGGGTGGACAAACTATGGCCTGTGGGCTAAAATTTGCCAGCTGAGCAATTTTTACTGGCCCACTAGGCTGGTGTAAAATTGCTTTATAATCTGTAGATAACCAGCTTTAACATATACATTTAGGAATATAAGGAAGGGCTTCAGTGGGTAAGTTTGTCTGGCCATAGGCATGGTGAAGGATTATAATCTTAGACTGTTTTTCTATACGACCTATGACCAGGTTGGTAATTCTAAATTTTGCCTGTGGGCCAGAAAAGGTTGCCAACTTCTGGTCTAGCTGTTACATCATCACAGCCCCCATTTCCAACAGCTGCTATAACGGGGACTGAAAGAGTTAACATTAGCCACTTGCTGCTTCTGTCACTGGATGCATTTCTGTTTCCTATCCAGAAAGGAAACACTGCACTGCACATTGCATCTCTTGCTGGACATGAAGACATTGTCAAGAAGCTGGTGGAGCACGGGGCACAGGTCAACCTTCAGGCTCAGGTCAGTCACAGTGAAAGTACTCTGAACTCACAGTCATACCATACCTGTCTTGTAACAGTAACCCATCATGTAACATTAACCCATCCTGTAACTTATCTTGCAACAGTCTTACTGAAATGACTTTCTATACTGCCCACTTTTTCTCTTCAGCTTCACTGCTACTTTTATTTATTTTATCACAGTCACACCCTGTGTGGGTTCTGGAGCCCTATTATAGGGAAAACAAGAATAGACACACTGCCTACCCAAAAGCTTGTCGTAAGAGTAGACTAATCGGGAGCTTCCGTCAAAGTCGGAGTGCATCTGCCTGAGAGGCAAGGAACCAGCAGTCTGCACACAGATGTGTCAGATCTGTCAAACGGATGCACATGCAACACTCTCTTTCTGGAGCAGGACTGCAATCCAAGAGTGGACAAACAACCTGAATTTTCCACCAGAGTTTAAAGCTGGTGAACGCGAAGAAGAAGAAGAAGAAGATCACAATCACAGTTGTGAATGTGAATCGTGTAATTTTCATCACATTATCATCATTACAATAATAACCATAATTAATAATGTCATCCTTGTTACTGTAGTGTGTGCCACTGAAGTGACTGAAGAAGGAAACTAGAATGTGTTAGGGACAGAGATGTAATTAACCAGATGAATGTAGTTAGTGAGTTATGGCTTGCCTGCTTGTATCAGTGTTGTTTTATGGAGTTGGGGGGAAAGGGGGGGGGGGGCCTCCATATTGAAGAGGTTAAGTTGTTTGCCTTATGCTCTGAAGGTAATGGGTACAGTTTATGAGTGCAGCTTTCATAAAGATCCCTTCCGATCATCACTGGTAGGATAGAGTTTCTGCTTCATACAACACTCTCGGCAGGCAGCTAGCTTTTCTGCTAAGAGACTGAGCTGTGTAGGATAAACTGGTGCAACATAAAACAAAGAGTTAAAGCTGAGCTGAACTTCAACTTGAGAAGCTTAACTTTTTTTTTTTTTTTTTGCAATGGTTTGATTTTATGTTCATCTTCAACTTGATTTATTTAATAACAGACTGTTGTTGTGTGCTGTCTACAGGCGGGGTTCACACCCTTGTATATGGCATCCCAGGAGGGACACGCAGAAGTGGTCAAGTTTCTACTGGCCAATGGAGCCAATCAAGGACTGTCCACTGAAGTATGGATCTGTGTCTTTTTATGTCTGTCTGTCTGTCTGTCTGTCTGTCTGTCTGTCTGTCTGTCTGTCTGTCTGTCTGTCTGTCTGTCTGTCTGTCTGTCTGTCTGTCTGTCTGTCTGTCTGTCTGTCTGTCTGTCTGTCTGTCTGTCTGTCTGTCTGTCTGTCTCTCTGTCTCTCTGTCTCTCTGTCTCTGTCTCTGTCTGTCTCTCTCTCTCTCTCTCTCTCTCTCTCTCTCTCTCTCACACTTATTTGCACAAAGAAATATTGAGAAATGGAGAGAAATGGAAGAGAGAGAGAGAGAGTTGGGGGGGGGGGGAGAGAACAGGAAAGGGAAGAGACCATCTAGCTTTTTCTAAGATACAACTACAAATTAGAATCAGAACCTAATGGTAGGAAGCAGATATCACTTTGCAATACAAGTCTGTTCCTTGTCTAGAACATTATAAAAACATGTTGCATGTTGTCCAACTATGCTGATGAAGATATTCTTACTCTTTCTTCCTGTACACCTTAGGATGGCTTTACACCACTGGCTGTAGCTCTACAGCAGGGTCATGACAAGGTCGTGTCAGTTCTGCTTGAGCATGATGCCAAGGGCAAGGTCAGGCTGCCAGCCCTGCATATTGCAGCCAAGAAGGATGATGTCAAATCGGCAGCACTGCTTCTGCAGAATGAGCAGAACTCTGTGGAGCTGCAGACAAAGGTATGCTTTTACCACTATCAGGTGTAGTCTTTATGAGCACTTTCTTGTTTCTGGTGGCAATTTTAAGGCTGGAAAATATTGCTTAATTATTACAGTGCAGTAAATTGAAGCATCTGCATCTTTTCTTTAGGGTATGAGCATATAGTTTCATTTGCAGCTGGGTAGGACAACTCCTGCTATGTTATGAAGAACATACACTGCAAAATAACACTATTAGTAAAATAAAAATAGTGGCTTTTTGTGTGTGTGCAGTTTAGTTAAAATAGTTCACTAAATTGTTGGCTCATAAACAAATTCTAAAATGCAATAATAGACAACTATTGAATGTACAGCAAACAAGGTTTAATCTTGTCTTGACACAGTAAGAGACCTGGTGGTCTGTTACTGAACATACTGGAGGGCAAGTGCAAGAGAAAGGAGGATAACACAGACATCAGACATTCAAGGGCACTGGAATTCATAATTATGTTTAGCTGATGCGAGTTGCTGGGAATAGGAGATTATGAAACTGCCTGATCATACTTCAGCACCAGTCTTCTGACTCTCTGACCGCATCATTGAAACTAGAAACTAGTTGCTATTGTTCTGTACTACCCTTATTTGTCATTTGTTGTATAGTGGTGTGAATCTGTTGACAGCTATGCTGCAGGAATTGCCTATTGCAGCTGACTCCTCCAGTTTAACTTTGCTTTGAGAACAAAAACACCACAAATATTAATTCATGATATTTACTGAGGGGAAACTTTCTGGTTGCACATATCTTGCATGAGGATCTGCACTGATGGTTTCATAAAATAATGTCACTCTGATATCTTTGATCATTTTTCAAAAATAAGTAAGCTAAGGAATATGGTCACAGCGTATCAGCATTTTTGTTGTTGCAATTATATCTGCAATTTTCACTTTTATCTGTTACTGTTAGTTGTTACTTCAACATAGCTGATAGCTCAGTAGGAGTTTAATAGCTGTGACTGAGCGAGTTAGTATGCCAGTCTATGGGGGAATAGAAAGGATTAAAATAATAGCTGCGACTGAGCGAGTTAGTATGCCAGTCTATGGGAGAATAGAAAGGATTAAAATGATACCTGTGACTGAGCGAGTTGGTGTGCCAGTCTATAGGAGAATAGGTTAGTTGCGTATCCTTTACAGGACGTTGCAGAACCAACCCCCAACAGCCCCTGGCTATTGTGTGGTTTTTTGAGGCAAATTTACATCCAGTAGTTTGCCATTGCTTTCTGGACGTTCGGCTTTCTTGACACCACTATCAAAACCAACGCAAGGCACATGGCCTGCAGCTGCGATCGAACCCGGCATCCCGGCATTACGAAGCGTTCACATCAACTTAGCCACAGAGCCGACATGAGAGAATAGAAAGGATTAAAATAATAACTGTGACCGAGCAAGACAGTGTGGGAGTATAGAAAGGCTTAACGTAATAGCTGTGACTGCGTCAGTTATTGTTACAATTTTAAACCATTTCAGATGTATGTGTTTCTGAATGAATAAATGAATGAATGAATGAATAAATGAATGAATGAATGACTACAATGCTTAGACAGTGCAGCATATGATGGCCTGGTCATGTGACCACATTCCACATAAAAATATTCCAAAGGACATTACTTGTGGGCTGCTGATAAACTGTCATAGGGAAAAACGGAACATTCACAACTGTAATTCAGAGATACGTGCAAGATGAACATGGAAATATTTGGCACAGCCACATGCTGCAGTGTAAGATTTCTGACCATGTTGGTACACTTTAATGAATAATCTTGAGCTAGGTAAAAGGAGACTTACTTGGACAAGCATTGGAGAAAAGAATTCAACAAATATTGTGTCTGGCTTGGCTACTGGAGCCTTCCTACAGATTTCATTGCACAGAGTCCCCCCCCCACCCACATATAACTAGATGTGAGTCACTGAGAACGTCACACAAAACATACACACTCTATAGCTGCACCAACTCATCAGGAAAACAGAATGATTGAGATGGAAGCAGAAGCCACAACCTTCAGTGTGTAACAAAGATGGCTTATCCACTGCACCATGAACACTGGTCATAGACCACATCATCCTGTAGTCAGACATGACTGAAGTCAGCTGTTATATATATATAACTCAATCTCATGCAGATCTGTACATACAACAAGTACAAAGTCTATATCATTGCTTCAGTGTGATTTCTAACATGTATTTTAGACCATGTAATCTCCCTGTACATCAGTCAATAACTACTAACACCTCATACATTTCTTTGCTGTGCTTACCCAAGGGAGGACTAGTTAATGACACCACCAAGGTTTGTTGAAATATTCCTGTCTTGCTCAAGATTTGTTTTCACTTCTTTTTGTTTGCTTTTCATGTTTTTCTTCACTTCTGGGTTAATTATTTTACCTATTGTATTCAGTTTGCTGTTTTGATTTCTCATCTCTTGAATTTTATTATTTTTGTTGTTGTTAATAGAACAATTACAGTTTTATTGTGTTAGTAGAATTATGCTTTACTGGTCTTTCCATTCATAAATTGTTATGTCATTCATATTTTGATCTTTATTACCATCTGAAGTATTGAGTTTGTCATTTAAGTTCATTTCCATCCTTTTTTTTTTAAATATGTCTTCTTGACGGCAGTATTTCATGTATTGCCATTCAACACTTATGCTATGGCAGTGTTTTAAAATACTATTACAAATGTTGATCAAAATGTGTTTGACTTTTCAGTTGCTGTAAAATTAGTTACATACAAAACCTATTTTTCTGTTGAATGTTATCGTTTTATCAATCTTTCAGACAAAGTTGTACATTTTTGTGTAGAGATTATCTTACTTATAAAGCAGGCTAATATATTTATTAAACATATATTAATTTTACAATATTAAGTACATAATTTTTAAAAGTATACTATTTCATTGCCTGTCTCACTGGTAGGTGTATAGATCACATATAAAAACAAAGTTGCTAATAGAAAGTCCAATGATTTCCAAGTGTTAGTTGCTAAACTCTGTTGTTTTAAAGTGTCAAATTTTGCTCTTTTAGTCTAAATATGAAGATCTAACTGTTTGGTTCCTCTCGGCTATCTCAGCATGTTGAAATCTGTAATCAGACAGTGTCAAATTTTCATTGTTAAAAATCTAGTCAACTTAAACAAATGCAAATTTGTAACAAATATCAGTAACTTGTCAGGTGCCTGTTGCTAACTAAAGTTTTAGGTCAGTAAAATCATAGTGCCTGTTGCTATTTTTAAAAAAATACTTTTTTCTCCAGTGTAAATAATAAATCTGTGTTGTTGTTTGTCATCATGTCATTGTCCCCACAAGCATGCCTTCCAGTTTCAGTTTCTGTACTTACAGCTATATTCACTCTTGTGAAATATTTTGGCCACATTAAACGTCATGGAAAAGACGGTGATGGAGGGTGTAGTTTGTGGAAGGCAAGGCAGGGGTTGACCACAGCGAAGATGGATACAGGACATAGAAGATGCATTGGCATTGAAAGCACATGAGGCTGGAGAGCTGGCTAGGAAAAGGGATACTTTCAGGCGTGCCATAAAGAGAGCGACGTTCTGTAAAGGACTTGCTGATTGATGATGAAACATATTGTAGTCTCATAATGATAAACTCTTTTATCTCATGATGCTAGGCTGTATAACCCCAGTACTTACTATCCCTCATGTCTACATATGGCTGTGTAGTGGCCTGTTTTCTCATTTTGCTGTACTTTCTCATCTTGATGAGTGCTCTCTTCTCTACTGTATTTTCTCAACATGCAGTGCCTTCTCATTACAGAAAGAAATAGTACTCTTTCATCTCAACATTCTTTACTGTTGTATCTCAGTGTGCTGCAGTCTCTAATCACAACAGTCTGTATTCTCTCATGTCACCATGAGATTTGATTAGCAGCATCAGGTAGAGTGTATCTCAGCGTTGTGTACCCTGTAATCTCAACATTCTCTACTTTCAAGTCTCAACATGTCATACTTTATAATCTCAGTTAAATATAGTCTGTCTTCTTCTATTTACTCTAATCTCAACATTCTCTACTTTCAAGTCTCAACATGTCTTACTTTCTAATCTCAGTAAAATATAGTCTGTCTTCTTCTATTTACTCTAATCTCAACATTCTCTACTTTCAAGTCTCAACATGTCTTACTTTCTAATCTCAGTAAAATATAGTCTGTCTTCTTCTATTTACTCTAATCTCAACATTCTCTACTTTCAAGTCTCAACATGTCATACTTTCTAATCCCAGTAAAATACAGCCTGTCTTCTTCTATTTACTCTAATCTCAACATTCTCTACTTTCAAGTCTCAACATGTCTTACTTTCTAATCTCAGTAAAATATAGTCTGTCTTCTTCTATTTACTCTAATCTCAACATTCTCTACTTTCAAGTCTCAACATGTCTTACTTTCTAATCTCAGTAAAATATAGTCTGTCTTCTATTTACTCTAATCTCAACATTCTCTACTTTCAAGTCTCAACATGTCATACTTTCTAATCTCAGTAAAATATAGCCTATCTTCTTCTATTTGCTCTAATCTCAACATTCTAAAATCAGCATTCTGTGCATTCTAATCTCAGCATGCCATACTCTCTATTCTCAACATTTGGTACTCCTCAGTTCCCTGTTTACTCTCCCTATACTGCATCATTAGATTTTAGGATTCTGAAATGACTGATCTGATTTATAGTCTGTACCTTGCACTCATTTGATGTGTTCTGCCAAAGTTGTGTGTGCTGTTTAAACCATAAATTTGAAAGCACTTGTAGAATAGTCGGTAATACCTTGAGAACATGAAATAAATAAGGTTGTGCATGGACTGTAATTTGTCTTTTGTTTTTTAAAACACTGTCCTCCTTGAATAATCTTTTTTCTTGTTTCCTACATGCAATTTTGTGTGTGTGTGGTCTGTTCTGCTTCCTAATCTGAAAATGAAATGTTGTTATTTTGTTACCCTCAGAGTGGATTCACCCCACTTCATATTGCTGCACACTATGGAAACACCAATGTGGCCACTCTTTTGATCCAGCGCAATGCAGACGTCAACTTCAAAGCCAAGGTCAGACCTTATTGATTGGCTATAAGATTGAATGGTTTTAATATTAAGATAATGAAAATCAAGCACAATAAAGCAGCTAAATTAAATTCTATTAAGGCATATTGAGAATAGATTATCTAACCAATGGAGTCGTTGAAAACAGGCCCAATGTGGTGAGTAGAATATCAGGGGTTGTCACCATTTCAAAAACATTTATGTACATTTTTTTAAAAACTTGGTTCAATGAAATGGTCACTTGTGGAAGAACTGAGCAGTGTACATGCCTTAAGCCTGTGCACTATGCACTGCACCATCTTGGCTTCACACTTCATGTTTGGCTGTCCTTTTGTTTAATGAGATCATATGAAAGAATTTTAATTTTTTTTTTTTCAAAACATTTAATACAATATGAACTTATTTGTGGCATTCGTAGACCAGGAGAAGGCATTTGACAGAGTCGACAGACAATTATTATGGAAAATAATGGCAAGATATGGAGTAAGCGAACACCTCATCGAAGTGTGCAAAAGTTTATACAGGGATTGAAGAAGTGTAGTTAGAATAAATCAGGGAACATCTAATCCTTTCACAGTGACATCGGGAGTAAGACAGGGGTGTGTCTTATCACCACTGCTGTTTATCACCTACATCAACAGTATATGCAAGAATGCCAAGCCCATGAATGAAGATCTTAGTAAGATCAACGAATTACTCTTTGCAGATGACCAGGCCTTGATAGCAGATACAGCCATGAAATTGCAACAACATCTAACATCCATGAATGAAGAATGTAAAACAAATAATATGAGAATCAACACTGAAAAGACAGAAGTAATGTCAATAGGAAAAAAGAAGACAGATCTAAACATAGCAATAGAATACAAAGGCATTAAACAGGCATCTGAGTTTAAATATCTGGGAACTACATTTACCGAAGATGGGAAATTGGATAAAGAAATTGACATTAGATGCAGTAAAGCAAACCAAGTATTGGGACAGCTAGCCCCCCTCTTACAGCATAAGACAATCCCAATCAGCACAAAGTGACATCTTATTCAAAGCATATTTATTCCAACTCTGTGCTACCAGTGTCAGACATGGTCACTCACAACAAACCATAAAAGAAAATTAGTAACCACGGAAATGAGATGTCTGAGAAGGGCTGAAGGAGTGACCAGAAGAGATAAGATCAGGAATGAGATCATAAGAGAACAAGTCGGCACAGAACCAATTCTGGATTACATACAAAGACAGCAAGTGAAATGGTTTGCCCACTTAGAGAGAATGCCTTGTGACACCATACCATACAAAGCATACATGGAAAGAGAAGAGGGACGTAGAGCACGGGGTAGACCAAGAACAAGATGGAAGGATAACATCAGAGAAACTCTACAACAGCACGATGTGCCTATGGTCGAGGCAGCCAGAAGAGCTAGAAACAGAACCTTATATCTCCCTCGACACCCACAGCAGTAAAAGAGGAAGTGAAAAAGAAGAAGAAAAAGAAGATATGAAAAAAATCAGATGATTTTTGTTGTTGTTGAGTGTTTACAGTATTTTTGCTGACCCTTAGAGAATAATGAACTTATGATTCTCTTATTATTATTCCAACAGTTTAGCAGGTTATGTGTATTAGCTCTTCTTCTTGATCCCAACTATCACATCAAGTGTTCCCAAACTACTTGTACATTTGGTCATATAATACTCCAAGATCTGGCTTCCCCAGTTGTTGTTTTTACTTCGTATTTAGTCCTTTTGACTGCTGAAGGACCGTCAGAGAATTACTGGAGATGTGTTCAGGAAGAATAATGATGCAAGCAAATAGTCTCCACTTGACAGATGTGCACTACTGATTTTTATGTAAAGTTAATTTGTTTCATTTGTTTTTTTGTAGAATAACATCACACCTCTCCACGTTTGTTCTCGCTGGGGGAAACTGAACATGGTTAACCTTCTCCTGGACAACAATGCCACCATCGATGAGAAGACAAGGGTAAAGTGTTTACTTATTTTATGGAGTGATAAAGCATGAAACCAAATTTATTTTACATAATACTGTATAAAACATGACTTTAGAGAAAGACATCAACAGAGAGAGTAGGTGCTGAATTGGTTGTCAGAGTGGCAAGAAAGATGGACACTGGTCAGACTTATCTAGAACAATGAATCCAAGACCATAGGTACGAGTTAACACTATCAGATGATGGTGATAAGTACACAATACTGGTAACGCCATCTGTTAAAAGTATACAGTGACAGGTTGTAAACTGGACAGGATTGAAAGGTACATTTTATGTCTGTAAGTTGTTACCCATGATCACTGTCAGTGTCTCACATTGTCAATGAGAATTAACCAGTTCTCAACCAATGAGAATTTAGGATCTGACATTATTGATAAAAACGAGGTTTTTCCTGACCTTTAGCGGTAATCACTACGCTCAACTTATTAGAACATGAAATCTTCAGATAGAAAATGACCAACCCAAGCTTAAATTAGTGAGTCCATATGTGCTCTGTTGAATCATAGTTACTGCCTTACATACCCCTTTGCACACAGGAAGCACCAGTACAGTATTAACTTGCCATCTTATCAGTCAGACAGTGAACTAACTTGCCAGCTCATCAGTCAGACAGTCGACTAACTTGCCAGCTCATCAGTCAGACAGTGAACTAACTTGCCATCTCATCAGTCAGACAGTGAACTAACTTGCCAGCTCATCAGTCAGACAGTGAACTAACTTGTCAGGTCATTAGTTAGACAGTGAAGTGATCAGCCAGTTTAAATTTATGAGCAATGGATACTGTTATTTATATGTGCTAAAAACTGATGGCCATATGTTAGCCATCTGCACACATATTTTTGACATTTAGCACAGACAGATAATTTAACAATAAACATTTTGAATACTAGCAGCTTACATAGTTTAGCCAGCATTAACTCTTTGAATACCAAATCACACACTGATTTATAAATAATTTAGCTGTCCTCTGGTACCGAACAAGTTAAAAGCATACAGCATAACATTAAACACGTAACACTTGCGAGAGCTGATATCTTTCCTTTGGCAGCAGGCAGATATGAATTTCACTTACTAGAAAAGAAAATGTCAATTACATGTTGCAGACAGATTCTTAGAATTACAGGATTCAGAGAAAGAAAATAACTAACATTCTAAAAGGTCTGAACATAAAAAAAAAAACATATAAATACTGTCTTGTCTAGGAAAGTAAAATACTCTGTCCATATTAATGATCACAGTGACTTAGTAGGAGCGGTTTCAGAGGGCATGTGTGTTAAAACTGTGTGTTTCTGTTTCTGCGGACTGTATAGACTGTGTGTTACAACAGTGTGTTTCTGTTTCTGCTGACAGTTTGGACTGTGTGTTACAACAGTGTGTTTCTGTTACTGCTGACAGGATGACTTGTGTGTTACAGCAATGTGTTTCTGTTTCTGCTGACAGGATGGCCTGACCCCACTCCACTGTGCTGCTAGGAGTGGACATGAAAGTGTGGTGGACACATTGCTGGAGCGAGGTGCTCCTCATTCGGCCAAAACCAAGGTAAGACTACCAGCTCCATCTGTGAACTGTCAACATAAGGGTTAATACTGAGTGGACATCATCACATTTTGTGTTAGCCTTACAGATGTATCTACTCAATCAGAACATATTACAGGAATTGAATACTGGTGCACTGGTTATAGTAATACTTCTTAAAGTCCATGACATGTGGGGTCGGTGGTTGTGTCTATCCACTACCTTCTTTCTCGTGTACTTTCAGTCACCTCTGATACAGATGATCCTCCATGTTATAATATCGAACAGTCCAGCATCTTTTCTTTCTGTCTTCTCTCCCTTTCTTCCCTTCCAGCTTTCCAAATGTTATGATGTACTCCAGTTTTCTCTTTCAGATGTGGACAGTCTCTTCGCAAGTTAGTTTCTGTAAAAAAATTGTTACTGATTTCGGTTATAATGGTTGTAAATACCAGTCCTCTCACAAACCTTTCCTTTCTGGAATGGCACATAAGGTGGACTTTTTCTCTGGGCAATTTACGGTCTGTTGATGTGAGCTGTCAGAAAAGCCACTGAGAACATATGACCAGCTTTAACCTAATCTGTCAAATATGTGTCATGTGCTAAAAGTAAATGAACAGCTGACTTATGAAAATCTATACATCACATAATAAATATTTTGTCTTTTGAAATGACATCTGGCTGTGAACATCCGACAGTTGGATAATGTCATGTGGCATCTGGCACATACAGTTGCTGTCTGTAGCATAAGATATTTAATAACAAACAATGACATTTGATGTGTGAATATGACATAACTAGTAGACAGTTTAACTGATAAACATATGTGACATTTAGAGAAATTACTTATTGTGCTTTTACATAATATACACAGGGGATCATCAGTCTTGTCAGTTTGCCTTCTGTAGTACTTGTTACTGTCCATGCCTAACCATCCATCAAAGCTAGTCTTCTTCTGCGTCTTCTTCTCTTCCTTCTTCTTCTTCTTCTTCTTCTTCTTTTTCTTCTTCTCCTCCTTCTCCTCCTCTACTATTACCACTACCACCACCACTTTTAGTATCAAGGAGATCTAAGGTTCTGCTTCTTGCTGTTCTGGCAGCCTTGACCACAGACACATCGTTCTGTTGTAGAATTTCTCACATATTGTCTCTCCATCGTGTTCTCGGGCTATCTTGTACTCTACATCCATCTTCTTTTTTTGTGTATGCCTTGCGTGGTATGAAAACTGGTACACTAATAAATAAAGCATATTTAAAGTTTCATTTACAAAACAAACAACAAACAGTATCTTTCAATAATCTGTAGAATGGCCTGACCCCGCTACACATGGCTGCCCAAGGTGACCACGAGGACTGCGCCCGCCTGCTGCTGTACCACAAAGCCTCACTGAATGAAGTCACAGTTGACTATCTGACCCCGCTTCATGTGGCTGCCCATTGTGGTAACGTCAAGACGGCCAAACTCTTGCTTGACCGCAAGTGTGAGCCCAACGCTCGAGCTCTGGTTAGTTTCTTTGTCAACAAAATTATAGCAGTTTTCTCATGTTCAGTATAATTGTAGTTCTCTTTGAAAATACCAGGTACTTATTGCAGTAAAAGGAATACACTGTATGTAATAAAGAGATGAATTAATAACCATGTTTTTGTGTAGAATAAATTAAATTATCAACTAGGATTTGATTCTTTAGTGATTTGAAATTGTCTACGACTCACATCCTTCCATAAATAAGAATGTGAATTATGAAGACAGACACTAGATCACACTGTTTATTCCTTATCATGTATAAGAATTTGATAATTGAAGATGTAAGCAATACACTTTACATTTTATGAAATGCCATATTTTGCTTTATCTTCCAGTGCTCACACTACAAAAATAAATGAACAATCAGTGGCTGAAATATAAGCTGTTATTTATTTACATTTTCATTGTTTAATATCTTCATTATTCAAATCTGCAAGTTAACATTGCTTTAATTTAACACTTGGCTGGGGGCCAGCACAGCTGAGTGAGCATTTGATTGTTTCTGACAAGTCAACTACTCACACACATTTTTTGCACTGCTAATTGTGGCTCATTGATACAGGAGCTTTTGTGTGCAATGTCTGATGTTAGAAATTAAAGCCTGTTAGCCACATGGTTCATCGTTGAATATGATGACATATATTTTGTGTTGCTTGCAGAATGGGTTCACACCTCTTCACATCGCCTGCAAGAAGAACCGCATCAAGGTAGTGGAGCTTCTGCTTAAGTATGGAGCTTCCATCGAGAGCAAGACTGAAGTAGGTTCAAGAGTGTGGTATTGTAGAACAATGTCTACTTGTATATTGTAGTTACCAGTCTAACAGCTGTTGAACATATGATGTTCAGAACTAATAATGTAGGATACATTAACATCAGTTCATGTTAGGTTCTTTGTTGTTGTAACTAATAATGTGTGGCAAATTAACATCAGTTCATGTTAGGTTCTTTGTTGTTGTAACTAATAATGTTTGGCAAATTAACTTCAGTTCATGTTAGGTTCTTTGTTGTTGTAACTAATAATGTGTGATACATTAACATCAGTTTATGCTAGGTTCTTTGTTGTTGTAACTAATAATGTTTGGCAAATTAACATCAGTTCATGTTAGGTTCTTTGTTGTTGTAACTAATAATGTTTGGCAAATTAACATCAGTTCATGTTAGGTTCTTTGTTTTTGTAACTAATAATGTGTGGCAAATTAACGTCAGTTCATGAAAGGTTCTGTGTTGTTGTTCTTGTTAATTTGCTGTCTCACAAGAACATGAGGCCTTGTAACATTAATTGACTCTTTTTTCACGTGTGCTCACACATATGACATATATTTCTTTTGCTACAGTAAAACCTCTCGTTGACACAAATTCCAAGGGACTCAGAAATTGAGTTTGTATTAATAATTCTTTGATAAACCAGGGACCAATAACAATAATATATTCCTGCTGGGACCAAAATTTTTTTCATGTTAACATAGTGTTCTTCTTAAACAATTCATGTTAATCAAATTTTACTATGAATTTCTTTTCATTTGTCAAAAAGTCTTGTTGCATTCTTATTTAACATGGGCCTCTGTTTTCATCACCATAATTATGATTAAATAAATGCTGATCTCCAGTCTGGACTGACCCCGCTGCATGTGGCCTCCTTCATGGGACATATGAACATTGTCATCTACCTGATCCAGCACAATGCCAACCCCAACACAGCAACAGTTCGTGGAGAAACATCTCTTCATTTGGCCGCCCGTGCCAACCAGTCCGACATCATCAGGATCTTGCTGAGAAACGGAGCCACTGTCGATGCCAGAGCTCGGGTAAGCTGTGATAGTTCATTTCATTTATAAATAAGAAGTCAAAGGATGGTATATTCTTTCCACATTCTGCGGTAATGAACTCAGTATCAAGTTTTCTCAATAATTGTGCTGTGAGCGTTATAGTTCACTGTCTAGGCAAAATTCAAATTAGAGGAACTTCTGACATTAATATTTCTAGCATGTATAGATACACATAAGGATCTTTGCTGGTGATAAGGTGTTTGTGCACTGCATTCTGAGCCTTGTGTTTTGAATGAGAAAGGTGCAGTGTAAGATGCAAATACTTTTTACAACCAAAGTTCGGAAAGTGGACACTGGGAATCTGCCTAACTAGGCCTATAATTACCTATCCTGAGATCAGAGAAGTATGATATCATTTGTTCCTCTCTTGTTTAAGATACAAGAGCAGTTAAAATATGAGTGTCTCAGATTAAAAATCAAAGTTTTAAACCCTGAATTGGTGATGAAAAATGTATCTATTCTTGGTAAAAAATTGTTTTAGGTCTGCATCACCACAAAACCCTGGTATACTCTAAATTTTATGATTATTTTATAGCTTAATTATTTTGTCAGCGTCTGTGGCTTAGGCATTGTGAACGTTTTTCGCAATGTTCAATCTCAACTGCAGACTGTTTGTCTTGCGTTGGTTTCGGCAGTGGTACCATAACCAAGAGCTGACCATTCAAAAGTAGTGGCAACTTACTGAGCGTAAAATTTGTCTAGTAAAACCACAACATCCAAAAAATGCTGGAGTTGGTTCTGCAACGTCCTGTAAAGGATATGCAAATAGCTTAACTAATTATGTTGTTTTATGTTAATTTCTAATGTCTTGGATTATGTAAATCTAATTTTGTTTAAATCTGGTATTTGATGGCTCAGGAGCAACAGACACCCTTGCACATTGCTGCCCGACTTGGCAACGTGGACAATGTAGTCTTGCTGCTGCAGCATGGTGCAGCTGTGGATGCTGCCACCAAGGATAAGTACACACCACTGCACATTGCTGCCAAGGAAGGACACGATGAGGTTGCCCAGATCCTGCTGGAGCATGAGGCCCAGCATGACATGACTACCAAGGTAACAGAAGTGATGAAACTCTTTGATAGTATGTCACTTATACAAATACAAAACTGTATGTCTTGACTTTGTCAGGGTTGCCATGACTTGACAGTAAGAGTAACTCTACAAATCATCATCATCATGTTGTGTGTCATTGTTGTGTCTAGTTTAATTCTTTGAATCACTGGAGTTGCAGTGTCAGAGGCTCAATGAGTAGAGATGCAATTGTAACACATTAAAACAGACCACACTAATTCATCTGCTGCACAACATACACATATACATCAAAGTGACCAGGGATTGTTGAGAAATAATATTAAAAAAGCTACAAAAATAAATTATGCTATTAATTATTAGTAAATAAACAGATGCTATGTTTAGAGAAATTAGTAAAATGAAATAATTTTTCCACTTACCATCATACACTCAAGAAAAACTTGATTAAATATATCCAAAATAAATCACAAAGAAACACATACCACTTAGTAATGTTTAAAAAAATATATGAACATAATCTGTCCCTTAGATCTAATTCCAGAGAAACTTTCAGAACATTATAACAGAGCACCATTGTTTGGTCAAGAAGAATGACTTCCAAAAGCAGTTAGTATTTTCAAAAAAAAAAAAAAAAAAAAAAAAAAAAAACCGCACGCACACTCTCTCTCTCTTTCTCTTTCTCTCTCTCTCTCTCTCTCTCTCTCTCTCTCTCTCTCTTACACACACACACACCACACACACACACACATACACCACACACACACACACATACACCACACACATATACACCACACGCACACCACACGCACACCACACTCTCTCTCTCTCTCTCTCTCTCTCTCTCTCTCTCTCTCTCTCTCTCTCTCTCTCTCTCTCTCTCTCTCTCTCTCTCTCTCTCAACACTCAATTTGCCCGTGATTTATAGCCTGTATTCCCAAATAATAAGGGAATCTATAATAACCTAACTGACACTGAAGAATATCGCCTTTGTGACGGATATTAATTCTCTTTGTATCAGCTGAATGTGTTATCGTTGTAGGCATTGCGTGAAGTATATATAAGAGATATCTCATCAAAGTTTGACTCGATCAATGACTGAAACAAGTCTGCTTAGTGTTTTATTTCAATATAAGGCTTCTAAAAGTCATAAATCTTGTTGCCATGCATGAAGAAGTTTGCTCGGAGGCCATATTGCTTTCATACAGGCACTTAGTTACTTGGTAAAGCTCACAAAATTGCTATATTTTATGCTTTTAACCACATTTCCAAGTAAACCTAATTGTCAGTCAGTACGTATGACATCGAGCACAGAGAACAACAAATACAGTTCAAAACTGTCGGTTTGCGTTGTTATAATGGTCAGTGGTGAATGAATGAATGAATTTCTACCCCACTAGGACATCACACAAGCGATAAACACCCGATGACACAAAGTGCCACCATGCGGATGAGGATTGCCGTGGAGAGGTCCCAGAAACCGCATTCAGACATTTGGCCATAATATGGCCTGCCTATATTGCGGCCCCTGGCAAAAGCCAGAGTAGGGCTTCAAATGACAAAAAAATTCGTCCTAAAAAGGACGAAATTGGGTATACGTTTTATATGGTCAGTGATAAATCAAAAACCAGTATGTGTCTCGCGCTGATTGTCTGCCTTGGTAGTAAATGATTAGTGCATGACGCATTCCTTGGGACTCGAGTTTAAGAACGCTAAATATCTACATCTGTTGGGTGGAGTACACCTAAACTGTGAAACAGCACCTGAACTTCAAAACAGCAGAGGTCGAAACAGCAGAGGTCGAAGGAAGGAAGGTTCATCAAAACAGGACTTTATGACAGTTAAGCATTGGTAGTCAGGGCAGTTTAAGCGGAAAAATTGATTGTGGGCCTTTCTGTCAGTGACCGTGATATATTCAGGGAACCAATTATTGACTAACTAATACACCTGAGGATTTAAGATTTGTTTTAATCATTCTTGTACATATATGTTTTTTCAAAAAGGAGAAAACAAAGAAACGTGAAAACTACAGATTCAATTAAATTTATCTCTTTTTTTTTTTTACAGAAAGGGTTCACTCCCCTGCATGTGGCTGCTAAATATGGCAACATCAAAGTGGCTCGCCTACTGCTGCAGAAGGATGCGAACCCTAATGCCCAAGGCAAGAATGGATTGACCCCTCTGCATGTCGCCACACACTACAACCATGCTAATGTGGCACAGCTTCTGCTGGAGAACAAGGCAGATCCCCACGCCACTGCCAAGGTAAGAACATCTCACAGCTTCTGCTGGAGAACAAGGCAGATCCCCACGCCACTGCCAAGGTAAGAACATCTCACAGCTTCTGCTGGAGAACAAGGCAGATCCCCACGCCACTGCCAAGGTAAGAACATCTCACAGCTTCTGCTGGAGAACAAGGCAGATCCCCACGCCACTGCCAAGGTAAGAACATCTCACAGCTTCTGCTGGAGAACAAGGCAGATCCCCACGCCACTGCCAAGGTAAGAACATCTCACAGCTTCTGCTGGAGAACAAGGCAGATCCCCACGCCACTGCCAAGGTAAGAACATCTCACAGCTTCTGCTGGAGAACAAGGCAGATCCCCACGCCACTGCCAAGGTAAGAACATCTCACAGCTTCTGCTGGAGAACAAGGCAGATCCCCACGCCCACTGCCAAGGTAAGAACATCTCACAGCTTCTGCTGGAGAACAAGGCAGATCCCCACGCCACTGCCAAGGTAAGAACATCTCACAGCTTCTGCTGGAGAACAAGGCAGATCCCCACGCCACTGCCAAGGTAAGAACATCTCACAGCTTCTGCTGGAGAACAAGGCAGATCCCCACGCCACTGCCAAGGTAAGAACATCTCACAGCTTCTGCTGGAGAACAAGGCAGATCCCCACGCCACTGCCAAGGTAAGAACATCTCACAGCAAGCCAGAGTACAAAATCCAGTATTATTATTGTATACTCCTGCTAGTAGATTCAAACCCACATCTCTTGTGTACTGCTTGGTTAGTTTGTTGTACTCAACAACAACAACAACAAAATCAGAAACATTTCTTAAGTGAGTTTTCAATAGCTTACATGAGCAATTGTTAACTGATTCCATAATTGATTACTGGACTAAGAATTAACAAACCCACTTTAGATTTGCTGTGATATTACACTGAGGATTAGTACATTAAAATTTTTCTGATGTTGTAGAAGAGGAATGGATGGACATTGCAGACATGTTGGAATATTTCTGTATGTAACTAATACTCCTTACCCACACAGGACTAGAGACTCACCAAGCTGGTATCACCGTCTGCTGTGGGTGCCCTAGTTATAATGTCTTTAGAGGTTACATGAGATACCTGGAATGACTCCTGTTGGCTTGCCATCTGGAATGAGATACTCAGGTGTGATCAAACAGTCAGGAAGGGAAACAGTTGATGGCAGTGTCCCCCCACCCCCTGTCGCAGTGTCCCCCCACCCCCTGTCGCAGTGTCTCCCCACCCCCTGTCGCAGTGTCCCCCCACCCCCTGTCGCAGTGTCCCCCCACCCCCCTGTCGCAGTGTCCCCCCACCCCCTGTCGCAGTGTCCCCCCACCCCCTGTCGCAGTGTCTCCCCACCCCCTGTCGCAGTGTCCCCCCACCCCCTGTCGCAGTGTCCCCCCACCCCCTGTCGCAGTGTCTCCCCACCCCCTGTCGCAGTGTCCCCCCACCCCCTGTCCCCCTTAATTATATACCTAATAGAAGACTTGTTTGCATATCTGGAAACTCATATTCCAGTTAATAAAAGTCTTTAAATTACAGTTATGCAGGCATTTGAGATTTGGAAACAAAAGGAAAGAAAAATATCTTATTGCAGTAAAGTTGTTTTCAGTGACTGTTCTTATATGTGAACAGATAGACTTGGGAATTAGGATCGGCATAGCAACAAATGAGACGCACACCAGACACACCTGAAGACTTGTTAATCAACATAGAACTGGTACTATTAGCCATAGGACGTTGGGGTTCATATTGAGGGGATCTGAGCACCTATGGACATGTCCGGAGTGCAATGATGATAACCCAACTAACTAACTAACTAATATGTGAACAAATATGTTTCCTTAACACATAGATGATGGGAAGCTATTGATAGTTAACTAGTGCTATTTGCAGAATTGTGATCGTGGCATTGAGGTCATAATCAAACACAGACAGTTAATAAACTATTCATTAGATTATTTATTAGCTCGAATCGTAAGTTTGCTTCTGTTCCTGTGAAAATTTTGCCAACATGTAAAAGTGGAGGTATAAATAGCAGTTGAACTAGTGCGACCTTAACAAAACATTGCAAAATAAAACAGCTAGTGAATCTAATACTCGATGTTAAATATAGAATCGATGCAATAAGTTTTGTCTTGTAGAATGTGTATGTTTCATTAAACTTACCTGTTAGTAAGTGAAAATAATTCTGACACTCATATATTTTTCTCTGTTTCTGCAGAATGGTTACACTCCCCTGCACATTGCAGCCAAGAAGAACCAGATGGATATTGCCACCATGTTACTGGAGTACGGAGCGAAGCCTAACGCAGAGTCCAAGAATGGATTCACACCCTTGCACCTGGCTGCCCAGGAGGGACATACTGACATTGTGGCTCTTCTCCTGGAGAAGGAGGCTAACGTCAATGCTCAGGCTCAGGTCAGTTGTTACTGTGTGAGGTGCCTGATGTTGTTCTATGGGGCTTTGCTTCTTCTTCATGTTCACTGACTATAAACTTCTGCAGAAATTACTTGTTGTTTGTCTACTTCTGGACTTGGCTCCTGTTGCAGGATGAAGATATTTGTTCCTTCCTCCCCCAGATGTGACTTATTTTTATGCAGACTGTTGGTTCCTTACCTCTCAGGCAGATGTGGTGTGGATCTTGGGAGTCCTGAGGTGTGGATCTTGGGAGTCCTGAGATGTGGATCTTGGGAGTCCAGAAGTGTGGATTTTGGGAGTCCTGAGGTGTGGATCTTGGGAGTGCTGAGGTGTGGATCTTGGGAGTCCAGAAGTGTGGATCTTGGGAGTCCTGAGGTGTGGATCTTGGGAACCCAGTCACAGTCACCACAAGATAACTGCTTTAGGGGAAACATCATCACCATGTGATGTGATTGTTTCATATTGTGAGTCTTCAGATTATGGGGTCCCTGGCAGTCACTACAAGATTTTTTTCATGAATTTAAAACATCATCACATATTTCAGCCCTTGAGCAGGTTGAGAGGTTGCCTGATCATTCCATTGTTGTTAAATGGAATTCCACATGTGTCTGCCTTGATAGATCTGTGCATGGTAGGTTTATAAATTCTGTCCATGATTTACCACTGTTTCATCCCTCCAGTGTGGTGCCTTCCAGTCCTCTCTTTGTTTTTCCTAAATTCCTAGTTGTGATCAAGCCAGACGTCTTCATATTTATATGACTTAAAGAAATCTCCTTTGTTTTTTTCCCATATATTTTCCAGAACTTGTTCATTTGTTACTGTTCCAAGTCAGCTGGTTTTTGTCATATTCCTTAACCTCACATCCTTCATGCTTCAGTATACTTCAGTTTTAATACATTTGGACAGGCAGACATGTGTACGGCCGCTACACCACCACCTTTCTCTGTAAGGCATAGAGATGTCGGTAATTATCACAAGTCACTGTATGCAATAAAGTAATCATGTGTTTTCTCAAATATTTCCCAGAATGGCCTGACACCAATACACTTAGCTGCCCAGGAAGATCGGGTAGCTGTGGCTGAGATCCTCTGCAAGTATGACTCTGACACGGACACTCACACAAAAGCTGGCTACACACCTCTGCACACCGCTTGCCACTTTGGACAGGTCAACATGGTTCGCTTCCTGCTGGACCATCAGGCTTCAGTGAATGCAACTACCAAGGTAAGTACTTGTAGACTTGTTGCTGTCCACATATGGGTCATAAGATAAAGAATGGAGTATCCAGTATCTTCCTTCCATGAATTCTAGTGATCAGAATGTCATTATGTCTGTGTACACCATTACCTTCTTTCAGTGCAGTCTAGTGATCAGGGTGTCTGTGTATCTGTGTACACCATTATCTGTTTCTTCCTGTGCAGTCTAGTGATCAGGGTGTCTGTGTCCACCATTATCTGTTTCTTCCTGTGCAGTCTAGTGATCAGGGTGTCTGTGTCCACCATTATCTGTTTCTTCCTGTGCAGTCTAGTGATCAGGGTGTCTGTGTATCTGTGTACACCATTATCTGTTTCTTCCTGTGCAGTCTAGTGATCAGGGTGTCTGTGTCCACCATTATCTGTTTCTTCCTGTGCAGTCTAGTGATCAGGGTGTCTGTGTCCACCATTATCTGTTTCTTCCTGTGCAGTCTAGTGATCAGGGTGTCTGTGTATCTGTGTCCACCATTATCTGTTTCTTCCTGTGCAGTCTAGTGATCAGGGTGTCTGTGTCCACCATTATCTGTTTCTTCCTGTGCAGTCTAGTGATCAGGGTGTCTGTGTCCACCATTATCTGTTTCTTCCTGTGCAGTCTAGTGATCAGGGTGTCTGTGTATCTGTGTACACCATTATCTGTTTCTTCCTGTGCAGTCTAGTGATCAGGGTGTCTGTGTCCACCATTATCTGTTTCTTCCTGTGCAGTCTAGTGATCAGGGTGTCTGTGTCCACCATTATCTGTTTCTTCCTGTGCAGTCTAGTGATCAGGGTGTCTGTGTCCACACAATGAACTGGTCAAGTCCAGTTCTTCTGTCAGGAACCATGCCTTCCCATTCATCATCAGTATCATGTTGTGTATTTATATGCCACATAAGTCTCTCAGTCTGTTGCTCCATTCTGTTGTTGCAGTCCCTTTGATGTTGTGGAGGGAATCCAGCACATCACCTTTGGCCTCTCTCATCAGCATTTATTTTATGGTTTCTTTTGGACTCCTCACTTCCTCAGTCTCTTTGTTTCCCATCTGGTGATTCTCTGCTGGTTTTTTCTCATGCTGTGTCCAGACTCGCACCATCTTCGTTGTCTTCAACCTGTTGTTACCAGTGATGCCTTCCATTACTTTTGTGTTAATTCTACGGAACATTGGATATGACTAAAGTATTCCACTGTCTGAGAACATGATTCTGTTGGTGAGCCAGTTTTCTCCGATGCACACATCTGGTAGAAGTTAGTATATTTTGGTCTCTGTTAATTCACAGCATTCTGAGAACTTTTCTGTCACATGGTTGTTCAAGCCCATCAGTCTCCTTTTTCAGAGACTGGAAGATGGGAAGTGCTTGTGTTCCATGGGAAGTGTTTGTGTTCCATGGAAAGTGTTTGTGTTCCATGGAAAGTGTTTGTGTTCCATGGGAAGTGCTTGTGTTCCATAGGAATTGTTTGTGTTCGATGGGAAGTGCTTGTGTTCCATAGGAATTGTTTGTGTTCGATGGGAAGTGTTTGTGTTCCATGGTTCATAGCTGCCTGTTTGACCTTGCTTTTGACAAGAATCCAAACTGTTTGATTAATAATCTACATATAGATAATCTATTACGTTCAATACACTATATCAGTATTTTGGGAAGTGATTGGGGGGGGGGGGGGGGGGGGGGCGACATGCTTGTCTTGTTTTAGATACATCCATATCATCCGCATTGGATATTGCTTGGTCTCCTCCTGTTAATGGTAAACACTACGTATCTGAGCTAGATTATTTGGGTCATGTGTGGAAAATGTAACAGTACCATCCCCATCAGTCACTGGATATAGAACATGCAGCACTAATATTCCCATCATTCACAGACCAGAGAATGGGTAGCAGTAATATTTCCATCATTCACAGAGTAGAGAATGGGTAGCAGTAGTATTCCCATCATTCACTAAACAGAGACACATTACTGATAAAAGAATCATTTTATTTTACTTAGAGGGTGATTTAACTGGCGGCCTGTGGGCAGAATTCAGCCCCTTACAAAAGGCTCCCAGTTCATTGCCAGTTGTGTTTATTCATAAACTTTCTGTGCTGGAGTTTGGGCCTCTTGCCCAAGATAATCCCTGTTTTCAACATTTTGGCACCTAAACAAACTGAACATGCCAGATTTTTAGTGAGGAGGTGAAACTTTTTAGTGTAAATGCGTCTGCTTGTGGTCTACAGGTTGGATACACCCCACTTCACCAGGCTGCCCAGCAGGGCCATGTCCAAGTGGTCAACATCCTTCTAAAGAACCACGCCTCCCCCAACGCTGTAACAAATGTGAGTATTGCCTCTCAGTGAAATCTTGTTGTTTTTGATTTGATTCACATTGCTTGTACACACATTTAGTTTAATATAAATATATATATATCTGCTTATCTTTTAAGTCAGAGTCTATGGCTTAGGTGTTGAGAACACACTTTGTAAATTTAAAGCCACTGGGTTCGATCCAGCAGACACTTTTGAAAAATAAATATAACTTGGCGCAGATTTAAAACCATGACCTTCAGGCCTGCAGTGTCTAGCCACTAGCCTTTAATGGGTACCAGGTAAAGTCCTTGGAAGTTATGGCAGCTGACATGATGTTGGCCACTTCTGCCACTAACTACCCTCTTGTTGATAAAATCTAGGTTTGGGCTCTATGTACCCAATACACCTAATGGTGTGCACAAGGGTACTTCTTCTTGTTCGTCACGTTCACCAGTTGTAAACTCTGGCAGAAAGTTTTGGGTGTTCATCCACTTCTGGACTGCAGTCCTGTTCCAGAACCTGAGTGTTGCATGTGCATCCGTTTTACAGATCTGACTCATCTGTATGCAGACTGCTGGTTCCTTGCCTCTCAGGCAGATGCACTCCGACTTCGAAGGAACGAGGGGACTTTACTTACGTGTGGTGATGGTGACATCATGGAACATGCAGCAGATTATCAGGACATCCTTTCTGTTTGTTACAGAATGGTCAGACCCCTCTCGCTATTGCTCAGAAGCTGGGCTATATCTCTGTGGTTGAAATCCTGAAGCCAGTCACTGAAGTACAAGGCATCACCCCATCTAGCGAGGACAAGTACAAGGTTGTCTCCCCTGAGACCATGCAGGAGACGTTCATCTCCGACTCTGAGGATGAAGGAGGTAAGGGGAATCATGTGTTCATTGATTTATTGTGTTGTATTTCAGTAATCACAATCCAGCGTGTCACGCAAGCGCCAGTAGTTGGATCACAACAGTTGTTTGTTTTCATAGGTTGCTTTTGTGTGTTCAGAACTGTATTCAGACATATTCTACAGTACCATTTAGGCAGTTGACCTCTATTTGTTTCACAAAAGGATGTCAAATAGTTTCTCTGACACCAAATTCTGCTGTATGTCAAAAAAAAAAAAAAAAAAAAAAATTTTTTTTTTTTTAAATTAAAGCTGCCTAATTATATTGACTTGACATTTAAAAAAAAAAGGATTATAAAGCCATTGTGATGCTGAACTGATTATGGCCACAGATCCAGTACACATACAACAAATTGGGGATTTTTTAGTACCGCCAGAAGGGATGGTCACTGTATGGTTTAGTTTCATAAAGGGATAGTCTTTGTTCTTTGTAACATAATTTGGGTTTATGTTGTATCAATCCATATTATCATTAAAAAACTAACGCAATATGATTATATTCTATGGATGAGTTTTACATATGGATACTCATTTGAGAAACTAAACTAGTTAGGGATTAAGTTATTTTTTTTGGGTTATTTCTGGGTTACCGTCAGAGGGTAGGGTAGGACAGGGCAGTCAGAAATGAGCAGTTAGGAAATATGTGATTGTGTTCTATGTGTTTGTTTTACTTAGAGATATTCACTTAAATACTCAGTTATAGGAAAATTGTGTTCTAGATAGTAAAGATTGCTTAATTCGAGTAAATTTTGAATACATTTTTGTGGAATATAGTTTATTCACTAACCCATATATAATCAAGTATGTTTGATTGATTAATTTGAAGAGAATAATTCAGGCTGTCTAACTTTAAAATCAGTTTTGTGAATATTATTTGATTTGTTATATTTATCATACAACATTTTATAGACAGGAGATTGAGTTCAAGTCTGTTACCCAGGTAATATTTTGTAGAACAGCTCTCTGAGCCATTTACTTAGGTCTCATATGTAGCTCTACAGATCTTGGGGAATTGGCTGCCTCAATATACATTTCAGATTCTGCAGTAGGAGCTAAACATTTATTGCTAGTGCTAACAGAACTTATGTATATTTTTTTTAAGATTTGATAGATTAGATGTAGAATACGTTTGTATACTATTTTGTCGCTCATATATTACATAATAAAAATTATATCGCTGCTTTATCAGCTAGGGTTGTCATCTATAGATATCTGGGAGTTATATTTTCAACGCTTTCTTTGCTGATTCATGTGTTTGTTCTTGAGCACTTGAGTTTATTTATCAAATATAGAGTAGCAAGAGTACATTGAGCCTACTGATCGCAAGCCACATTAACTACTTTGAAAGATATTTTTATTATTATTATTATTTTTAATATTATTATTATTATTTTATCATATTTATGGGCTGTATTCTTTTTACAAATCACATTCGACTAAATTATTCAGTTATCATTATGTGCTGGGTCTTCTGTTTTGTGAACATACGAGAATATTGCTTAAATGTGTAGTTTAATTTATAAATTGTTTCATTCTGAATTATTTTATTTATCTGACTTGTTCATAATATAAGTCACACCTTTCTTTAGTTATATCAGGAATACATTTTTTTTAACTCTTTGTGCCACTTACCTTTGTTATTATTTAAATGAAATATTTCTGTAAATTATATATTTACATTCTTAATTAACTTTGATAATAATTAGATCATCTATTTGATTATTGAAATATTATACCACCTTCATTATTACGGTAATCTACCATGTTTAAGGCAGTAGTAGTGCTGGTTCTTCACTGCTGCGGGGCAGCTTGACCCCTGGTATGTTAGCAGGCAATGAAAGCTTCAACTTCTCTGGTCAGTCACTTTTGTTTTATCCTCCCATGATGGGTCAGTTTCCTGCCATTCCTGTTTTCTTCTCATGTTGGGTCACATGGTCCTTTGTTTTCACTCTAGTACTTCTTTAGCCCTCCATGGTGGGTTTGTTGGTTCTTCAGTTTTTTTACCATTGCTTTTGGGATCTCTTTATTTCATCCTTTTGATTTGTTTTACTTGGAAACAGGTTATTGTTTTTTTTATAAATAATTACATTGAAAAGCTTTAATTTCATTTATGTATTTTGAGGGTGCTAACTGAATATTTTATAAATCAATCAATGCTGTGTGACTAATATGTTAAAAGTAAATATTTTATAGAAGTTAAAACATGAATTTGTATGTTTATGGAATTTATGCTTCTTTTGGATCATATATTTAAATTATTATATTATTTTTGTTTCTTCAAATTTGGCGTTTATTTGGTATTTTGAGAATGGTTGTCAGTAATAAGTGCAACGGTAGATTATGCGCTGGTTGCACATATTACCCAACATTATAATAGCTGTAGTCAGATAATCAGAGATAGTGATCAGAATAAGAATTGTAAGAGTTAAAATATTGATTGTCAAAGATTTTATAAACAACTAGAAATTTGATTTAATAAAACCAAATTAGAACATTGTTAATAAGAACAAAGGAGGAGTCTGCCTGCTAAACTTAATTGCCTTGAATAAGGTTATCAAGTCAACACTACTGTAGACGGGTATTCTAATTAATAGTGCAACATCTATTTGTGTGTTGAAAGTACACACAATAAGTTCACAATCATTGACCAACAGTTAGTATGCAGTAGATGTTGAGATTTTCAGATATTTAAATGGATTCAAAATTACAAGCCAGAGGATTTGAAATCCTAATGCTGATAGTTGTTTAATGTGACAGGAGGGTAATGACAACTATGCAACAAGAAGTAGTGGTTTCTGTTTGATCGTTCAGTAAATGAACGTAATTAGAAATAGTAGATTCAAACTCAGTAGTGGTAAATTGATACATGACAAGGCAGATGTGGTCAAGGCCCTTTAGGAACAAGCAGCTGAATCAGTTGAGAAAGAAGATTATTATTGCCTGGAGAGAATAAGGCACCTGGGTGTAACCAGAGGGTTTGGCCGGCTCACTACACTCAGAGGAAAGGCAAGACGGACACATAACCAGATTGTGACCACTACTATCAGTATTGAAAATCTGCGCTGGCTGCTGAAGATGAGGACGGAGCATGCATGGGAGTGCCCCGAGGGCTGTGATGTCAATTCTTGATTCAACTCAACTCAACCCAACTCAAGTCGGTAGTAAGTGTAACAAGCTTCATGAACAGTAAATAGTGTAAATGTTAGTGCCAATCATTGGGATTGCTTTGACTGTGAGATAACACCACTGAAATTCTGAATAAATTAAACACATAATTGTGCATAGTGTGTTGTCTAAAGTAGCACAATAGGGAATTTCTTATCATAAATGTAATATTTTTATTATTTAATATTTTAAAAATTCTATGAGTAATTACCCCTTGGATTACTTTATCTTTGGGAAATGGAATTTTTACTTTGTGTTTGAAATTCCCTATAATTTAACAGGACAGAACTGGTTTTCAGGCATGACAGTTAACTGATCAGACTAAACAGTTTTCAGTGACTATCACACTAGAAGACGTACACCACAGACAGGCGTGACAGTTGACTGATCAGATAAACAGTTTTCTGTGACTATCACACTAGAAGACATACACCACAGACAGGCGTGACAGTTGACTGATGAGACTAAGCAGTTTTGTGTGACTATCACACTAGAAGACATGCACCAAGGACCAATAGTATACTGTAATTTAGCTCAGAGGTTATAGGTGAATTTTGTTGAAATAATTTCTAGTCTCACATCAATCAAAGAGAATATCTGAGTTTAAGTTTCTTTTGTAACGCTGATAAAGTTGACATATATTACAGATTGCCCTTCATTAGTATCATGTGTGAGTTTGGGGAGGGGCCCTATTTTGGGAAAGCGAAAGAGTAAACCCACTACCCTTAAACCCACTGCCCCTTAAGCCCACCACCCCTCAAACCCACTGTCCTTAAACCCACTACTCCTTAAACCCACTGAGCCTCAAACCCACTGTCCCTTAAACCCACTGCCCTTAGACCCACTGCCCCTTAAACCCACTGCCCCTTAAACCCACTGCCCTTAGACCCACTGCCCCTCTAACCCACTGCCCCTTAAACCCACTCCCCCTAAACCAACTACCCCTTAAACCCACTACCCCTTAAACCCACTCCCCTTAAACCCACTCCCCTTAAACCCACTCCCCTTAAACCCACTACCCCTTAAACCAACTCCCCTTAAACCCACTCCCCTTAAACCCACTACCCCTTAAACCCACTGCCCCTACAACCCACTGCCCCTTGAACCCACTGCCCCTTAAACCCACTACCCCTTAAACCCACTGCCCCTTAAACCTACTGCCCCTTAAACCCACTTCCACTTAAACCCACTGCCCTCAAACTTACTGCCTCTTAAACCCTTAAACCTACTGCCACTTAAACCCACTGCCCCTAAACCCACTTCCCCTTAAACCCACTCACCTTAAACTCACTGCCGCTTAAACCCACTGGCCTTTAAACACACTTCCCCTTAAACCCACTGACCTTAAACCCTCTGCCCCTAAACCTACTGCCCCTTAAACCCACTGCCCCTTAAACCTACTGCCCCTTAAACCTACTGCCCCTTAAACCCACTGCCCCTTAAGCCTACTGCCCCTTAAACTAACTGCCCCTTAAACTCACTACCCCTTAAACCCACTACCCCTTAAACCCACTACCCCTTAAACCCACTACCCCTTAAACCCACTACCCCTTAAACCCACTACCCCTTAAACCCACTGCCCTTTAAACCTACTGCCCCTTAAACCCACTACCCCTTAAACCCACTACCCCTTGAACCCACTACCCCTAAACCAACTGACCCTTAAACCCACTTCCCCTAAACCCACTGCCCCTTAAACCCACTGCCCCTTAAACCCACTGCCCCTTAAACCCACTGCCCCTTAAACCCACCGCCCCTTAAACCTACTAGACCCTTAAACCCACTGCCCCTTAAACCCACCGCCCCTTAAACCTACTAGACCCTTAAACCCACTGCCCCTTAAACCCACTACCCCTTAAACCCACTACATCTTAAACCCACTACATCTTAAACCCACTGCCCCTTAAACCCACTGCCCCTTAAACCCACTGCCCCTCAAACCCACTACCCCTTAAACCTACTACCCCTTAAACCCACTGCCCCTAAACCTACTGCCCCTTAAACCCACTGCCTCTTAAACCCACTGCCTCTTAAACCCACTGCCTTTTAAACCCACTGCCTCTTAAACCCACTGCCCCTTAAACCCACTACCCCTTAAACCCACTGCCCTTAAACCCACTGCCCTTAAACCCACTGCCCTTAAACCCACTGGCCCTTAAACCCACTACCCTTAAACCCACTACATCTTAAACCCACTGCCCCTTAAACCCACTGCCCCTTAAACCCACTGCCCCTAAACCCACTGCCCCTTAAACCCACTGCCCCTTAAACCCACTGGCCCTTAAACCCACTACCCTTAAACCCACTACATCTTAAACCCACTGCCCCTTAAACCCACTGCCCCTTAAACCCACTGCTCCTAAACCCACTGCCCCTTAAACCCACTGCCCCTTAAACCCACTGCCCTTAAACCCACTGCCCTTAAACCCACTACCCTTTAAACCCACTGCCCCTTAAACCCACTGCACCTTAAACCCACTGCACCTTAAACCCACTGCCCCTTAAACCCACTGCCCTTAAACCCACTGCTCCTTAAACCCACTACCCCTTAAACCCACTTTCCCTAAACCCACTGCCCCTTAAACCCACTACCCCTTAAACCCACTACCCTTTAAACCCACTACCCCTTAAACCCACTGCCCCTTAAACCCACTGCCTCTTAAACCCACTACCCCTTAAACCCACTGCCCCTTAAACCCACTGCCCCTTAAACCCACTGCCCCTTAAACCCACTACCCCTTAAACCCACTGCCCCTAAACCCACTGCCCCTTAAACCCACTACCCCTTAAACCCACTACCCCTTAAACCCACTGCCCCTTAAACCCACTGCCCCTTAAACCCACTCCCCCTTAAACCCACTCCCCCTTAAACCCACTGCCCCTTAAACCCACTGCCCCTTAAACCTACTGCCCCTTAAACTCACTGCCCTTAAATCCACTGCCCCTTAAACCCACTGCCCCTTAAACCCACTGCCCCTAAACCCACCACCCCTTAACAGGCATGTTGTTGAGGGTGACTAATTCAGGGTTTTCCCTTCAAAGTTGGAGTGCATCTGCCTCAGAGGCAAGGAACCATCAGTAAGCCAAATATGTAAAATGATGTGCATGCACAGCTGAAGTTCATGGACAGGACCAGAGTCCAGAAGTGAACATCTAACTAGAACTTTCCACCGGAGTTTGCAGCTGGAGAAGAATGAGGAAACCTTATTTAGTGATTAAACCTGAACAGATAGAACATTTATTTCTGATTTTTCTTAACAAATATTTAGAATATTGTAAGCTGCTAGGTTTTAAGACCACTATTCAAAAGAATTAAGTGAGACTATGTATACTGTAAACAGCATTTCATCTGCTATTTATTTATATATGGACAGTACACAAAGAGTTGCACACATAACCAGATTGACAGTGATTCAAGTAAACCTGTTTGACACAGGTGAAATATAAATGGGGGACAGGGTTATTATGACAAAGACTAGGTTTGACTGACATGATCAAATGTTATGCTTATGGGGTGAACAAGGCAAGCACAAAGCAACTGTATGATATTTTGCCAACTACAAACAGCAGTAGCCCGATCTATTAATTACAGTGTTTATGAAATACCACTTTCATTTAATGCTAATTTTTGAATTAGGTATAAAATACCACATTCTTTTAATACTTATTTTAATTAGGTATAATATACCACATACTATCGATGCTTATTTGTGAATTAGGCGGACAATCACAGTTAGTCCTACTGACCGTTTATCTTATGTAGGAAAACATTGTCTTGAAAAACATTTCTTGTTTTCTTCTCTGTGCTGCTTGGCAAATCAGTTGATGACTTTTTGCCTCAGTCACCAATATTTGGCAAGCCTCTTTCAGAACAGCACGTGTATCTGCCTTATTATGAGGGGCAGAAGATGCACAACCGTAAGTCCTTCTCTAGAAAGGGAGATCACCTGCTTGCTGTCATGTAAACCAATATTAGATGTTGTCAAGCATTATGGCAATTATTATCCCCCTTGTTTACATTTGGTGTTTTTATTTTAATGAATGATTTGAAGTTTTGTTATGTTTTGTTGTTGTTGAAATTATGTATTTGTGATACACATAGTCTAGAGACTGCTTGCTGTGCTAATACAACACACTACTATTGGTTGCACTTATTTATATATAGTTATAGAATATTGAACAACAGGCAGCATTCTGTTATAAGATTCCCTATTTCCTTGTATGGACATTTAAAAAATGCTTTAGGATGTTAACTATCGATACTGTATGCCATCTGCAACCAAGACCAGACTGCAAAAACAGCATGTTAAAAGGGATGTGGCCAGACAAGAGAACAATGCAGGAAATGAAAGAAGAATAAGAAACTAACATATAACTAGTGTCGTCAGCAGAATTTACTGAAGGATCCGAGCAGTTATGGACTGAATGGTTCGATGTGTGACAAGGAAAGGTCGACTTATGAACAATATCAGGAGGAGAATCAGTACAGAACGAGTAGCTAACTTTATCGGTAGACAACAAATCAAGTGGTTTGGCCATGTAATAAGACTGGCAACAGATAGGGCATCACAGGGAGCAATGTTATACAGATACAGCAGTTACAGAGCCAGAGGTCGACCATGCAGAAGATGAACCACAAAAATAGCAGAGACACTAACAGAAGGGCCTGTTCCAGAGATCTCTTCATGCCCTGATTTGCGAGGCATTCCAGGAGTAGAGAGAGGAAGAATAAGATGAAGCTGTGATCATTCATGCCGGACAGCATTTGGACATGATAATGCTAGTATAGCAGTTCACAGTTCACACAAGGAAGGTCAATGATATATATATATATTCATAAAACAGTCTTGACTTCGGTTCTGTTTAAAGCAGTTAATAGTTTGATATTATACATACCTGGAGTTGAAGGGGTTGGAACCCCTTTGATAGGATTTGCCACAATTTCTGACTTACAGACTGCTTCATAAGTACTGGCTGTGGTGTCTATTAACTTGGGTAGGAGGCATGCTATCTTTTCCAGGGATGAGATGAAAATGTGCCCTGGATCGTGGACGGGTGGATAAGTCAGTAGAAACAAGCACAGTGAAAACACTGGTAGTAGAACTGTGAGCATAGACTATCAACAGTGATCAATGCAGTGGTGATATTGATGGCACCAAAGTTGTCTCTCCTGGATGAAAATGTAAAAAGGGACTTGGGAAAAAAAAAAATATCCTAAATGGGAAGGAAATGCTGTCACTGTTGCAGTTGCATCTTGTCTTTAATGTTGTAACAGACCTTCAATAGCATGGATTATCTTGAGTGAGTTCCTGTTGTGTTCACAGTTTGTCACCAAATGTGTATGTATGCCGGGACTTGTGTTTAATCTTGTAATGGTTAGATACCAACTGTATAGTTCTAGCTATGTCATGCTACCGTACAGCTGCTATCATCTGCACATTTAATGGTAGGATACTAACTGTATAGTTCTAGCTTTGTCATGCTACCGTACAGCTGGTATCATCTGCACATTTAATGGTAGGATACTAACTGTATAGTTCTAGCTTTGTCATGCTACCGTACAGCTGGTATCATCTGCACATTTAATGGTAGGATACTAAACTGTATAGTTCTAGCTTTGTCATGCTACCGTACAGCTGGTATCATCTGCACATTTAATGGTAGGATACTAACTGTATAGTTCTAGCTTTGTCATGCTACCGTACAGCTGGTATCATCTGCACATTTAATGGTAGGATACTAACTGTATAGTTCTAGCTTTGTCATGCTACCGTACAGCTGGTATCATCTGCACATTTAATGGTAGGATACTAACTGTATAGTTCTAGCTTTGTCATGCTACCGTACAGCTGGTATCATCTGCACATTTAATGGTAGGATACTAACTGTATAGTTCTAGCTTTGTCATGCTACCGTACAGCTGGTATCATCTGCACATTTAATGGTAGGATACTAACTGTATAGTTCTAGCTTTGTCATGCTACCGTACAGCTGGTATCATCTGCACATTTAATGGTAGGATACTAACTGTATAGTTCTAGCTTTGTCATGCTACCGTACAGCTGGTATCATCTGCACATTTAATGGTAGGCAGCCTAAAATGGGTACCAGGATGGGCTGTCCTGGGAAAGTAAAGACAGCCGGCGTAATGCTGACCACATTACCCACAGAGTGCTGATGGTCTGTAAAAATATGGGACGCTCTGCCCATATGCCCGATGCGCCGAAAGGCGTGAAAAGGGATCTTTACTTTACTTTTTACTTACTAACTGTATAGTTCTAGCTTTGTCATGCTACCGTACAGCTGGTATCATCTGCACATTTAATGGTAGGATACTAACTGTATAGTTCTAGCTTTGTCATGCTACCGTACAGCTGGTATCATCTGCACATTTAATGGTAGGATACTAACTGTATAGTTCTAGCTTTGTCATGCTACCGTACAGCTGGTATCATCTGCACATTTAATGCACAATTTGGAATGTGAATAAAGATGCCATTTTGCAGTGTTTGTTTTTGTAAAAAATATCCTGTGCGCATCGAATTCCACTTGCCAGTCGATTCATTGGCTGCTCATTTACTTTACCACCTGCCCTTATATGAAGGAAGAGTCTTCTGTTTTTGTCAGTTCAGTTCATGAATTATCTAGCCACAATTCTCTGTTGTCTCTCTGTCATTATCATGCACACACAGTTATCAAGCTTCTCCTTTGCATATTCTGGTTATAACATGCCTGCGCTGCTGATAGATTTCCTGACATTTTGTTAGTGCATCTTCAGATGTTCAACATAGTATACCGATGGCTTTCCCTTCCATTTGATTGTAGATTTAATTGTTACCAGCATATACATATGTGACAGGAGTGGAATTCAGTGTTCGGTCAGTATGTCACTAAAATATTCGGTACTTGTACCCGATAAGCCACCAATTAGTGTTTTGATTTTCAATCAGTGAAGGATTTTTAATGTGTGCAGCATTGACACAAGTGTTTAGAGTTGTCTTCCCTTGACTGAGACGGACAAGGCCTGTGATCATATGTTTACCATTCCTGTCCTCATCTCTAAGCCACTCTTTCCTAGTACTTGTAAAGGTAAAGTCGGTAGATGTGAACCAGCGTCATTGCACATGGTACGGACAGCTGATAAGAAACTGTGTCGCCGTCTGCACGTAACTCTGTAACTACAGCAACGTTCCTTCATTTACCCCAGAGTGTCACTCTAGTACCCATTTCCTAGAGGCTGGGTGAACCTCGGGAACCGCCCGGTTTCGAACACCGACTGTGGCTGCAGCGAGTCGCAGCTGGATAGGAAAGCGAGCCTCCTATCGACTACGCAAACGCGGCTTCCCCCTTCTAGTACTTATGCTCTGTTTGACTTGCCGGCACATTGTTTGCTATATATATTTACCACATATTGTTTATTGGACATATTCACTGTTTTATTTGCTGCACTTTCTGCTTGTCTAATATTTAAAAAAATAATTGTAGTTTAGTTTTTGCTTTCAAACGAGCTTTCATCACAGTTAACTTAGCATTGTATTTATTATTACCTTCATACATTCAGGTTAACTTGTTAAGTGTTTCTTGCATTTAAAATTGCACCCTTATATGTTTATCTAAAACCGTTAACATCCTTTAACATTTAACAAGCCACAAGCCACTATAAAAAAAATATAAACACTTGAGTAAAGTTTGTTTAGAGAAACCACAGAGTGTAGAAATACCTGTATGAGAAAAGTTTGGCAGTAAATGAACAGAGCACTGTCTACAGACATGATGACTACTACAAGGTGTAGACTGTAAGAAGATCAGGTTTACAATAATGCTCAGTGCATCCCTTTCTATATAAAACAAATAAATACACATGATAAAAAAAAATTTATTTTTTAGAGAGCAGTTGAACGCATTAGTTCAGCTTTATCAGTGTGGATATCTGAGTGTGCTACTGTACATGTGTCTATCATTTATTGATCAGTGTGGTATATTGGTGTTTATTATGTGTATGGCACTGTGAATGTATCTGTTATTCATAAAAAAATGCATATATGTTTATCATTACTGTAGCATATGTATGTTGTTTATTCATAATGACAATGTGTATGTGAGTATTTCATTAATACATATTAATGATGTGTTGATCCATTCTCCAGCATGGTCATATATGTTGATAGAGATGGACCTATGTGGGTAATTCATTAGTGTCCTATACATGTGTAGCAAATCATCAAAGTTGACTGTCATTGCCGAATGCTAGACGGACTAGTATCATTCATACACAATCAACATTGTCCTGAACCTCCTGCTGTTGTGTGTGTGTAATATAAAAACTAAGGCTCTCTTGCTTGTGGCACAGATATCTGTGATAGATTCTTACGATAATTGATGAACTAACAGATAAGACACTGTTATATTCTGGCAGTAAAGTTCATGGTTGTCTGTGTTATCTAGGGTGATCATATGATGGTGGTACATTCACATGAGCTGAAGTCTCACATCTGGTTCTTTCACAACTTGCTCTGGTATCTGCTGCTCAACATTCAGTGTTAACACAGAACATGTGGTACGGACCACTGTTATATGGTAGCTCAGTCATATCTGACCCAGACCTGACCAAAAGAACATAATTAGTACATTTTACATAAGCCCCATTCATTATTCTTCACTTTCACTGGCAGTAAATTTCAATGGAAAGACCTTGTTTTCATAGTCTTCTAGGCTTTGGTCTTGTTCCAGACTTAATTGTTGTGATCACTCCGTTTTACAGATCTGGCTTATGTGCAGACTCTTGGTTCTTTGCCTCTTAGGCAAATGCATTCTAATTTAAGGAAATGTCAACTCTATCACCATTCACCAGGCCCCCTTTAGCTAGAATGAGTGCGAAGAGGTAAGGGTAGGTCTTGACCGCCAACAACCCTGGCCCTGGGTTCAGCACCTCTGCATCTCCATGAATCATACACTGTGTATTTGTGCCATTCATCATTTGTGCTTGCGTGTATCATTAATTTGTCAGTATCATTTATGTGTGTATCATTTATTTATCTGTATATTTTACATTTGTGTCATACACTTATCAGTCCAGTATGTCAGTGTCTCATTTGTAAAACGCTGAGTGTTTTCATCCATCTTCTCCGCAGATAAAAGACAGAGTAGTTACTTCAGTAGTAAGTTACTGCAGCTCATCTCAACATTGATGGTTGTCTTACGTGTGCATGTTTGTTGGTTGGCTGTGACTGTGTTGAGGGAACATCAAAGCAACGTCAACAGTACAAGAATCAATATATCCATGCAGTTTTAGACTATACAACAAACATATCTTTATGGTCTCTCCCATGTTAATAGAAGAGATGTTAAAGCAAACTACTACATTTGTGTTCATTTAAATAAATGTGGCATACATTGCCACACTTATATAATTGGCATTTTGCTAAAGTCATCTCACTGTTATTTCAACTCTGACAGATGACACTGAACAAGGAAACCTGTGGTTGGTGAACTTTAGAGACACTCACTCTGATTTACAGTGCACCACTTAAAGTGTCACTGGTTGTTTTAACCCTGGCATTCCAAATTAATTTAAATGTGTTGCTGATATTCAGTTGTAGCATTTCTATAAGTCACCTCCCTTAAGTGTGAGTTGCCTTGCAGCCAGTTTCAAGTCTGAAGCAGTGCTGTCACCAGCTATGACCTAGATTGAGTCCATATACAGCCTTGATAAATTATAATTTGTGTTTAGCGTGTGCACTGAGAGTTATAACATATACATGAACTGGCTGTGAGTTCAGGCCTGCTTGTATTCTGTGGTGACAATGTTACATCATATATCTATCTAGTACAAACTGAGACAAAGTCCTTTCAGTTAGGGTAAATGTAGTAGAGGACATTGGCTGTTGGCTGTTCTTTAGCTGTACACTCTGGCTGTTGTTTATTATTGACCACTTTATGTGTAGTATGTCATGGGGTTACTAAGATTGGAAGCAGAAGTGATCTCATCCGCAATTGTTTCCAAAGCTAGAAAATCAGACAATCAGAACAGTGAAAATAAACATATATTAGTTAGCTGATGATGTATGTGTCCTCCAGTGGAAACTTGACAAAGGCTGCTTACAGACACAGAACTGCAGGAACACCAGACTAGTGTATGGGTGCCCTAATTATAACTTCTTTAGAGGTTAATTGGGGTATCTGGGATCTTCCCTGTTGGTCTGCTGCCCAGATTTAGATTTTTTGAAATCTCAGAGTTGTAAACCATCATGTGGCATCTTGGAGGGGACAGACTGATAGATCTATCTTGGTAGAGTCAGCCTTTTTTAATACTTGCCTGTATGTGCTGTACGAGAGAAGTTTCTGCTTTTGGGCTTGTTATAGCTTTTGATATTGTAAGCGTATATTTTCTGTATTATCTCTTTGATGTCATCAACCCATCCGTTCCTTTTTCTTCCCTCCGATCTTTGCCAGTCTTACTGTGTATTATATGTCGTCTCTGTTGTGGGTAGACGTGTGGTCATTGTTTAATGAAACAAACCATTTGAACATTTTGCCTACCACATACTGAGGGAGCATTGTATTTTACTTGTTCTCAACCTATCAATACTGAGATATAAGTAATGAATAATGAGGAAACTGAAGACAATGCTTTTATGCTTTAAGAACAGAAAGTTATGAGCAAAATTGACTGAAAGAAAGAAGCTCTGGTATTGTCAGCCAAAGGCATTACATAAGGAACATCTCATGTCTTGGCAGTGTTTCATCATATCTTTCTCACACATTCCCTCTCCCTATTTACACACACACATAGGTTTGTTGAATATCAGAGCTTGTATATCATACATAGGTATGTTGAATGTCAAAGCTTGTACATCATACATCGGTTTGTTGAATGTCAGAGCTTGTATATCATACATTCATTCATTCATTCAGTAGCATGTCCCTCGCGGAACCTCGCTGCCATAACAACCCTCCGGAAAACCTTCCTATCATGAGCAAGATGTCCTGCGTCTGATACACCCATCTGGAGATCATCTGCCACATCCTGCACCCATCTTCTCCTTGGCCTTCCTCTTCCTCTCTTCCCAGGCATATACCCCTCCATTATTGTTCTCTCTAGACTTCCATGACGTTTCAAGTGACCAAAATATTTCAATTTTCTTTGTTTTATTGTCTTTACTAGCCAACCCTCTTCAATATTCAGCTCTTGAAGTATGGATGCATTTGTTCTTTTCTTTACCCAAGATATTCTTAGAACTTGTCTGTAACATTTATATTCAAATGCATTTATGCGCTGTTCCGCTTGTTTAGTAAGTGTCCAGGTCTCACAGGCTCTCTATCATACATAGAGATGACAAAATCAGTTTCTGTGTTTATGACAGTAACAGAGATGCTTTACTGACTTCAGTATGTGTCTGTGTGTAAGCTTTTTATATTCTGTGATGGTATGTCTCTGTCTGTTGTTGTAAGTGAAAAGCAGCGCCTGTGCTGTTATGTCTCTGTCTGTTGTTGTAAGTGAAAAGCAGCGCCTGTGCTCTTATAGTGTCTGTCTGTTGTTGTAAGTGATGTCTGTGCTGTTATAGTGTCCAGGGATGTATTCCTTCAGTATCAGATCAGATTCTGGGTCAGCATTAAGCACTAACACAGTGCATGCACGCACATTTGTTATTTATTTAGTCAAATATCATTGGCTTTTCTGACTCTCCTTTTGCTGCAGTTAGTTGTACCATGAACTTATTCATCTCAATTGTTAGTTTTTCTCCTCGTGCTCATATTGTTAGCATTTTAACTGCTTTGGACACAAACATTAGCTACTTTAAACTACAACTGTTAAACTACACGTTTTTAATAGGCTCGTACAAAAAAAAAAACTATGATCCTTAGTCCCGTCTATGATGATTTTAATGTAACAGGATCACTCATGTATAGGCTGACAAGACAAGCCATTTTGAACAGGCTTGTGCCGTCCACCCTCCCATCCTCTCCCCCTCCCAAAGTCAGATTTGTCACATTATTAATAAAGCTATAAATATACTTAAAATTGACCACTCACAAATTATTTTTCTATAAATCAGTGTTATAAATACTGATAATGTTTATAACTTTAATTTTTACGGTAGATTAATTTATTGGATAAATATTAATAGTGCACCTACAGTGACATACAATCCCTTTAAAACATCTAGGTAAACATTTCTGTTTATTTTGCTACTAAAGAATGTTGGAAATTGTTTTTTTTTAAATTTTTTTTATAGGAGGCTTACATAATGTCATGAATGTAGAATATTACATATGCTGTGTGCCATTTTGGCCATCTCAATGCCCCAAGATTTTCTTGAGAAAACCTGGTCAGCCTACTTATTTCCTACACATGAAGTGAAATGATTGTGCTGATAATGATGATGATCTGAGACAGTCAGTTATAAGAATTCAGATGTTATACAATAGATTGTCAGTGATATGATTACTGTAAAGTTGGTTGTCATTAGAAGTTGAAGAATAACATGGACGGATGGTCATTGACCTGCGTGTTTTTATGGTTGCATATTAACAGGTCATTACCAGCTTTTATTATTATAGTAAATAATATGTATTCTAGACTGATACTAATAGTCTTGTAAATAATGGGAGACAAGATTAACAATTATGTCATGCTTTAGCATATAAAGTGATATGTATCAAAAGAACAGAAACATTTGGTTTCTTATTTCAAAGTATGTGTTTATATATCTGTATATATATATATATATATATATATATATATATATATATATATATATATATATATATATATATATATATATATATATATATATATATATATATATATATATATATTGTTTGTGTGTGTGTGTGCGTGCTTGCATGCATGCTTCTGTAAAAACACATTTTTATTTGAATCTAGTAAATTTGTTTTCGTTTACCGTTAACATACTACTGAAGATGATTAGTTTTTTTTTCTGTCACCTGTCTAGGTGTGTGTTCTTGATTGTTGGTCAGAATTGGTAACATTATTTCTTTCTTCATTGCTCCTGCAGGAGAGGATAGCATCTCCCTGGAAAGAGGTGGGAGCGCATCGCCCTTGGACACTTCGTACGATAAGGTAACATGGATGCTTTGTAAATGCTATAAAAGCATTGCTTCACTGTTTGATGTGATCATTCCAAGCAGTTGTGTCTATGTATTCTGTTTATGTGTGCATATGTGTGTGCTTCTTTGAGATTGAATGTGTATCTTTATATATTTATAAGTTACTGTTAAGACAGTGTTATCTGTTTGGTTGTTGATGTGATTATTTTTATTGTTTTAAAATGTTAAATTAGATCAAATATTGTCTTCTTCCTCTGATAATTGGCAGACTGTTGTTTGTTTAGTGTAAATGTCACCATATTATTTTGCATGAAATGCCCTAGTAAAAAAAACATGTGTGCTTACAAATATACAATTACATGAATTATATATATGTTTTACATGTTTCCCTATGGGTATTCATGGCTTTGCCACATCTGTCAGGGCTGTAAAGTGTCCTCTTGCAGTTCCTTGTATCATTTAGCCATAGTGTCAATTGTTTGTATATGTGTGGTGTTGATTTGTGTCCCCTTCTGATGGCTACATGAAAGATATTTTTTAAATTTTGTTTGATGGAGTGATGTCCCATGCCTGTTTGGTGTAATGGTATGGAGTTGCCTGCCCATGTTTAGTTACAGTTGTTCTGCATGTTATTTCTCCCTGCTGTGATTTTGTACAGTTTTGTTCCTTCCCCTATTATTTACTGAAGTTACTTTGAAAAACCTGAGCCTCTGAGAAGCAGCACATTAAATACTTGTGATAGCATCTGTACTCCTGTAACCCCATGCTCCAGTTGCTGAAGAATTTTTAACAAGAGTGGGTCAAGATTGTCATGGGCTATGATTTCCCAGCTTCTCTAAAACACAAAAAACACTGTTGTCTGGTAAGATGGAAAGGTATCAACAACCATGAAAGATGGTTTAACCAGTCAAGTTCCTTCCAAGTTTTTGACTGGAAAAATACTGCCTATATTTATCACTTTAGTAGTGTAGGCAGAGGGATCTTTGAGTGCGCCAATTTAGGGCTGGGTGACTAGCTCTGTAACCACAGACTGTGCAGGTTAGGATTGTATTTGTGCCCCTAACAAACAGCACAACATCCACAACTTTACCAAGGATTCAAATCTAGGTCTCGTTTTATTGACTAAAATGTAACAAAAATATCCAGTTAAAGAAAACTGAAACGTCTTTGATGGTGAGTTTGACCTGCCGTATTACCTATTTTATGCCCGGCTCTCTAGCGTAGTTGGTTAAACCTGATTTTCGCGGCGACCAGGTGACAAACTCCTTGTGGTCCGGGTTCACTCCCGGGGGTAGGCAGAAAAGCCACATTTCTCCCAGATTAACGGTACCTATAATGGAATCAAGGCCGAAGAGTTTACAACTCATGGTTTCTGGATACGTTAAAAAAAATAATACCTTTATTATAACTGTCCTTCTGACTGCTTCGGGAACATGGCATCGGCACTATTGTTGTTGCTCCTTTGCAGAAGCAGTTTGATTGTTGGTTATTTATCCTCATGTAGACTGAGTCTTAACTCTTCAGGTATGATGTGTTGATGTTGAGGTGCTCTGAGTTCTCTAAAGGTTTACATCTATCAGGGCATGGTTGATGTGCAGCTTTTGTCACCAGCTGTCACCAGATTATCATCTCCAAGTTCTTCCCCATTGTAAACTGAAACCAATTGGGTGCACCAAACAGAGGAACTTCCACACCTGCCATCTGCTATTTTACAGTGGTTCTCTGTTAGATCAGACCTGCAGATAAACTCTTATTTTGAAGGTCTGCATGGACTTAATGCTTATTAATAGTTACATTAAAATACCAAAAAAGTAAATTTATATTAGAATTGCAAAACTAATTGCATTCTGAAGGTTGTTTCGTGTTTGTAAAGGATATCATGGAGCCCTTAAATCTATTCCACTGACCAACAGCTAGACAAAACTGACAATTTAGATGTAGCCAAGTGCAGATGTTGACTCAGCACAGTATATACAGTGTGCTGGGATTGAGTCTATGTTGATGTTGATTGCCCCATTGTCATACAATCACTATTTCCCATCACATGACCAAGCCTTGGCTCAAAAGTTGTATTAGTGGCTGGTGTATTTAGATATTTGAACATCTATTTTCCTGTGTCATAGAATTGGCTTATGTTAAGTAGGTCTTGAGTAAAGATGGCTATTAGTCGCCTAGATTAAATAGAAATATACGTCTCATCCTTTTAATAATGAAATTTTTCGTTATTGGAAGCCCTATTCTGGCTCCTGCCAGGGGCTGCAATATAGCCTGGCTATAAATATGGCCTAAGGGCTAAACACAGTTTCTGGGAGGTCTCCACGGTGATCCTCACCCACATGGTGGCACATTGTGTCATCGAGTGTTTATCGCTTGTGTGATGTCCTTCCAGGTGGGATAGAAAGTCAGTCAGTCAGGAAAGGTGGCATATTATCAGCATGACGTGTGCTATGTTTGTGGTTATACCTTTTGCTTTTGATAAGTTCCATTACTGGTTGTTTTCTGTGTCATCTCTTTTTCTGAAACGTTGTCTCTATCTTCCTTAGTCTTCTTTATTATCACTGCCCTCTCTGGTCCCTTTCCTCTAGTGAGGTGACCAACCTGTGACCATTTGTCTTATACCCACTTGGAGAGTGATGTGTCCTTTGTATATTAGATTAATTACACCATAACATGAGTCCCATCTTTTATGTGTATCTCAGATGTATGTCACAGTGGTCACGTACACATATATACATAGTCATGTCACACTGCAGTACAGTGGAAGACTGGATTCTGTTGGTCACAGTGGTCATGTACACATATATACATAGTCATGTCACACTGCAGTACTGTGGAAGACTGGATTCTGTTGGTCACAGTGGTCATGTACACATACATACATAGTCATGTCACACTGCAGTACTGTGGAAGACTGGATTCTGTTGGTCACAGTGGTCATGTACACATACATACATAGTCATGTCACACTGCAGTACTGTGGAAGACTGGATTCTGTTGGTCACAGTGGTCATGTACACATATATACATAGTCATGTCACACTGCAGTACTGTGGAAGACTGGATTCTGTTGGTCACAGTGGTCATGTACACATAGTCATGTCACACTGCAGTACTGTGGAAGACTGGATTCTGTTGGTCACATTGGTAATCATCACTGACTATGATTAGGATTCTTCACTTGGCCACGGTATAATGCTATCATAGCATACTGCTGTATTGTAGCTTCCCTCTTGTCCATTGTCTTTGTATATTGAGTCAACGGCAATCAGAGGTGTGGAAATTCATTCCTAGCTATTTTCTGCGCATCTACTTATAACAGTCCAAGATACGGTTTAAATTTAAAAGCAAAAAGAAATCCATGCCACCGATGTGGCAGCCCTTAAGTATATGTGTATCATAGCACTGGGATAGGCCTGCCATCTAATGGGCCTAGGACAGTCCTGTCATGTAAACGCACTGGTACAGTCCTGTCATGTAAATGCACTGGTACAATCCTGTCATGTAAACGCACTGGTACAGTCCTGTCATGTAAACGCACTGGTACAATCCTGTCATGTAAACGCACTGGTACAGTCCTGTCATGTAAACGCACTGGTACAGTCCTGTCATGTAAATGCACTGGTACAATCTTGTCATGTACCAGCATTCACGTACATTGATATGCTCCAGATGAAGAAATATGAGAGGCAGTAAGATTGAACAAGAATACTATAAGGGGACAAAGTGATAAAATCATAAAACGATAAAATAGAGAGAGGGAAACATGAGGGTTTACAAGCTTGAAATGTCTAGAAAAACCAAATATTTTGTCTAGTTAACCTTGTCCAAGGCTGTCACTGTGAAGTTCAACTGAAGTCTTCTTCTGTTAAGGAAACCAAATAAAAACGTTTTTAATTGGTTGTGCTTGGAAACCCCAAGCCAGTATATAGCTAGCAGTCAAACTGTTACATATGGTATTTGATCCACTGTGTTTTAATCAGTCTGTTTGTGCTTTCCGTTTTCCCTTTTATGCTGTCTTTCTTACATCCCTTCCTCCCCACTCCCTGGCTTGTGAGTGCCAGCACAGTCTTTGGTAGTGTTATCAGCTTATAGTTTTATTCATTATTTTGTTTTCAGTAAAATTTTGGTTCTAGTGTTTGTAGATGGCTGAGTTATTTAACACTAGATGCTGAAGTATAGCAGTTATCATTACTGTCAGTGGAGAAACACAGCTACTGACATTCAAATATAAAATGTTAAAGCAAGTTTCCATAGTTTTGAAGCCAAGTTAAATTGCCTTGCGAACAAAACACAGGATTCTGCATCTCATGGAATTCAGGGTACCTACAGTCATACATGCAGTGTACAGTTTAGAGATTGTTTAATTACTTAGAATTTGTAATTTGCAATTCAAAAATTCCTTTAAAACAATTACTTGAGACATGAAATTTCTTCAATGTTTTTTTGACAAGTGGAAGAATGATCAAGCCACCAGAACTTCCACTTGTGGAAAGAAGCAATCAGTGATTACATTTTAACTGATAGGCAACTGCAGATTTCATTTTGGCAGTTATGTTTGTGTTAGAATAATTACATGTGTAAAATCCCAACAGCTTAAGTTGTGAATGTTTTGTTTGTGGTCAGCTTGATTTGCACAAAACCAACCCCCATCTTCTCACTTTAGGACATGCAGATCCATTACCCTGCCTCCGACCGTAGAGGACACCTGAGTACCCAAATGGGGGCCACCATGCGCTACCCATCCTACCTGGAACATGGGCCCAACTATGAGGAAGAGATGAGATATTACCACGGAGATACCTTGTCTCCCAAAGACAAGGTAAAATATATAGTCTTGATGAAAAGCATGACAGACACCCTAGTCACCAGGCCGTTGTACCAGGTTGTTATTATATAGCCACTCAGGTGACAAGTCTTAGAAATAATTAGCAGTTAAAGAAGTTAGTTTGGTATCAGGGAACATTGTCAAAATAAATAGTCACTCAGGTCTTTTTATCTAGACAATATGTCAGTAGAATAGTATTTATTTGTTTAAAATGATAGTTTTAAGGTGGTGAGGAGAATATTAATTGGTGAGAATGTATTTCCAATGAATAGATGTTATAATGGTAGTCGGCAAACGTTATTTATAAGCTATCTAGAGTTTTGTACCCTAATGATATTCTCAGTGACAAGGCAAATACTGTTACTAAATCCTCAATAGTTGCCTTTGCCAGAACATTTCCTGCTACACATTTTAGGCTAGTTCATTTTGGGTGCTCAGATCATTTTAACAAAAACAAAACAAAATTAATACAAACAAAATATATCTGCTTCTGAGGATTCAAACACATGGCCACCAGGAGGACAAAATGGTAGCTGCCGTGCTACTGTGGATGTGTTTTTTGTTCTTTGTTTTTAAGGGTTTTAGCTAACTGTCAGTATGGGGTTTGGTAGTTAGAAAATGAAACTCAGTGGAAACTAAATATTCTTTAAAGTTCTTTGGAGCAGGCCATTTGACTGGGATAGGAAAGGCATATGAGAGACAATTCAGTATAAATTAATCTTGGAAATAAAAGAAAATACAAACAAGACAGTACCTATCATGGAGATGTGATTTGCTTGCACAAGCGAAGTAATACTGCACAACTGTATGGTTTAAAGTGCTAACAATTGACAAATCAAATATATAATGTGGAAGTGTTATTGCTAAAGCAAACAGTGTTATTTTCACTTCTTTTCCTATGCAAAACCTCATAAATACAAAATGTTAGGGGAAACATTTTCTTTAAATTATTTTTTTAGAAAGATTTTTTTTTTAAATATTAAAAAGCATTTATTGAAAAGATGAAAATACTTACTGATCTTTGTTTTCTGAAGTATTAGGCTAGCGGAGGATTAAGTTAATAGACTGACAGTATGCATGTTTTAGCTACCTGTCAGTCACCTGTCCCTTGATAATAAAGTTATAGAGACTAATAGCATGAGAATATGCCAAGTGAATTGTAGTATATTTTATGAGCAGCCATCTTTTACTTGGTTCAGGTTTTTGTTTCTCTTTGTTTTCATGTTTGATTTCACTATGAAGATATTGAATATAGTGTTTACATGGTCCAGTTTTACAGTGTTCCATAGATCATACTCTAGTTAATTCATCACTTTTGTGAAAATGGTTTCAGTATAGCTACGTAGCCTGGCTAAAATTCCATAAGCAGTCCTTTTTTGTCTCTTTGAGCCTTAACAATTTATAGCAATACTTGACCTTGTAAACCGGAAGCTGTGTGTAACCCTGGACCAATCGTGAAAATTTGACATCAGATTTTCTATAAATTAATCCATTTGTTCACAAGCAGACCCCTCTGAATGTTTAAAAAAAAAAAGTAAATGTAATCATGCCCGGTCATGCTAAATGTTTGTGCAGGCGCAAACAGAATCAAATAAATAAGTTAATACACTTTTCCCCATGTGGGATGCAATTTTTTTTAATTCTAAAGCCCCACCCACGGTTTCTGGAACCTCTCCACAGGTGATTCTCATCCACATGGTGCTTGTGTGATCTCCTAGTGGGGTAAAATGTACTACTACAACTACTACACAATCAAATCTGTGAGCCAGGCTTCTCAAAAACAAGCCATTATATCAAGCCAGGAACGAGGCTGTTACAGTTGATAGGCACCCACCAAAAGGGCCGGGTTTGGGGCTTATCTGAGCAGCATTAAATGTCACTGATTGATTAGTGCACAAGCTTGAAGGTTGTGGATAGACATGACTACCAACACCACACAGCATGGACCAGTTAAAAAAGTGAAGGTTGTCCTCAACAGGAGACCACTCACCCACACAGGAGGAATCAAGCACTATATGAGCACAAATTGTCAGGGGAAGAATCCAACCTAAAAGAATTAAGACACAGATTTGTAATTATCCTGCTAGTTTTTAAACCTTTTACATAAAGACGAAGCCTAACCCCCTGCCGAAAGTTCAGGGTGAAGTATACCATCCCTTCCTGTGCCTGGACACTCTTACACCAGCACAGATTACACTGATTATCTAATCAGATGGCTCGATGTTGAGAAGTGCCTAGGGGTTTGTAGTGAAAGCCAATGGAAAATCTTTAGTGCAAGACAGTCTAGCATACGACACCACAACATATAGGTGGTAACTGCAGCTCTCTGGTGACTAGAGAACAAGATGCATACACATGTTGTAATTGTAACAGTCTCTGAAAGCAAAATGAGAAAGGTGAAGGCAGGGATGCTTCGAGCAGAGTGGCAAGTTTCACTAGGAAGGTCACGGGTAGTGAGCATACTTTAGATCTTTTCTCCAGGCTATGCTCACTGCACTCAGAGGAAAGGCGAGACGGACATATTACCAGATTGTGACCGCTACCATCAGTATTGGAACTCTACACTGACTGCTGAAAATGAGGACGGAGCACACATGGAAATTCCCATAGTGCTGTGATGTCACTTCTTGACTAAACTCAACTTAACTCTTACACTAGCATAGCATTGTTTGAAGAGTTAATATAATGTACTCAGCATGACATATCAGAGACAAAATAGAAAAATGTCCTATTTTATTTATCTCACTTGCATTCATGCTGACTTGAAAAAACAAATATTTTAGAAACAATAAAGAGAGAGAAAAAACAAATATATTAGAAACAATAAAGAGAGAGAAAAAACAAATATATTAGAAACAATAAAGAGAGAGAAAAAACAAATATATTAGAAACAATAAAGAGAGAGAAAAAACAAATACATTAGAAACAATAAAGAGAGAGAAAAAACAAATATATTAGAAACAATAAAGAGAGAGAAAAAAACAAATATATTAGAAACAATAAAGAGAGAGAAAAAACAAATATATTAGAAACAATAAAGAGAGAGAAAAAACAAATATATTAGAAACAATAAAGAGAGAGAAAAAACAAATATATTAGAAACAATAAAGAGAGAGAAAAAACAAATATATTAGAAACAATAAAGAGAGAGAAAAAACAAATATATTAGAAACAATAAAGAGAGAGAAAAAAAAAAACAAAGTAATAATTATCATATAGGGAAAAGAGCCGCAGTGTAGCCATGCACATACAGATGATTGTCAGGCATTGTGTATGTATGATCCATGGAACATTGATGTGTTTGTATATTGTTTGTTTATTTGTTTTAAGATTAAATATGTACAGTTGTTAATGATGTCTATACGTCACCATAGCACCCGTACACAATAGATGTTTTTCTAGCTGTGTGTTATGTTTGACTTAATCTTTATCTGGACCTCTCTGTAAACATATATCTCATGTTTGATTAGGTCTCTATATAGGCCTCTCTGTAAACATATATACGTTATGTTTGATTATCTCAACATTTGTCAGAAATTCAAAGCAGTACAACTGGATATGGGGACTTCATGCATACACATCAGTAATAAAAAAAAAAAAAACCTTGGGACAGTAGAGTGATTACAAATGAGGACTGCATGTGCATATATTAAGAACAAAACAAGCAGATATGAGGACCTCCATTTGATACAAACCTTCATCTTATAAATTGGTTCTAATGTCCCTTTGGTCCCATTCCTTTTCACAGTGGATAGACACAAGGCTTATTGCTTGTCTCTTCCACATTGTCTGCCTCTTGTTTGTCCTGACCTTGCTATCACCGTTCTCCATGTGCACACATATGGACAAGCACATGCATGCACATGCACACACATACATGCCCATACAATGTGTAAGTCTTTCATGAAGCCTTGACTAGCATATACTCCATCTATATAGACGACAGGAACAGACAAATCTAAGCTTGATAGCACATTTTATTCCGGAGATTACTCCCTCTTGGAATCAAACCGGGACTCCATGGCACTGGATGGCACCAGAGACCGCTCAGCCTTTGATAGCACTGGAGAGATATTTGGTAGCACAGGTGATGATGATGAGTTGAAATACGTGGCCGATGAAGCGTACCTCAAGAAGGTAACCAGTTTCAGCAACCCAGCTTGATTCCCCGTAACCAGATTTTTACTAAACAGCATGGCTTGTGAACAGTTCTTTTAACCTCTACATCACACTCCAGTTTCATCTACTTTGTACTGACTCAGTTTCATCTTCACTGTATTGACTCAGATCGCCTGGGAGTAATTATAGTATCCATCGTGTATCATTCTTGCAACTCACTTTTTCAGTATACTCTGATATCTTCAACAGTAAACTTACTTTTACAGTAGAGATAAAATATCATTATGAATCATTCTTACAACTCAGTTTTACAGTATCCCCTGCCAATATACTGGCAGTTTTATACTGTTTAGAGTAATTATAGCAATAAATTATACTTCATGCATCATTCTTACAACTCAATTTTACTATCATTAGCAGTATAGCTACAGTTTCATATTTGCAGTAATGGTGGATTCCCAGCACGCATCACACTTAGCATTCCTCAATTTGTATAGTGTACCCACTGGGCAGTACAGTAGTGTTGGTAGATTGACACCACATAAGTCATGATCATTTAGTAAAGGCAGTCTATCAACATGCTGTGTGATCTGTATAGGTTCTTATTGAATATGAAAATTCTGCTTTCTTCATCTGGCATGTGAATGGTCTTGTTGCATGTAAGATGTCTCTCAACAGATTTGCTTATCCCCATGTAAAAGTACGGTGATTAACATGAGCCATGTCTGACTAACCTGATGTCTGTATGACTTCATAGGTGTGGTGGTTGTGGGTGTTGCATGTTTCCCTGTCACACAAAAAACCTATCTGTGCATGGTCAGCCTCCCTATGGTATTAGAAAAATAATTTTGTTTTTAAAAACAGAATTACCCTTCCCATCTTTGACTGCAGAGATAGCCAAGTTCTGGTAGGTCTATAGAAATAGTGTGCTAGTACAGTTCCAGATATGGGAGGGCTTTTTGTTTTTATTTAACTCAGTGCACCTCAAGGAAGTGGAAAACAATCCTACTTTATTTTTCAATGTGTGATTACCATTTTTACATTGGTAATACTTTTTATAATATTGTTTCAGCGTTAATTTGTTGATACATGGTCAGAAGGCAGCTTGTTGTATACTAGATCGATATTGGTCATGTTTTTATGGTTTGTGTGCTACTTGATGTATGAGCATGATGCTGTTTATCTAAACCACCTGTTTACATCCTGTTTATTGGTCAGCATTTGTCTTTGTTGTTTTTCTTTTCCTAATTTGTTCTTTCTGCTTTGGTGTTCATTCATTCACATTTGTCCAGAATTATAGGTCTCTTTATTGTAATATTTTCTGTCAGGTTTAGAACACACTTTCAGTGACCTTAAAAGACAGAAGACATTTACAAAATTTTTTTTTCTCTATTTTAGCAGTCATTGAGAATATTAAACCCAGCAGTTGTATATATGTTATTATTAATACACCAGAATACACATACACAATATGGACTGCATGCAACAGGGTGAGTTATATATAGTTTGTCTTTTCCATTGTGACAAAAAAAGTTAGTTGCATATCCTTTACAGGACATTGCAGAACTGATCCCAGCATAACTTTATTTACACCATCCACCCACAGATAATCCATGCATCGCCTTCAAATGTTTCTCATCCATCAAATCAGTGTGTATGTGAATTTCTTACAATCTCCTGTAGTTTATAAAGCACTAGCTGTCATTGAAAAACAAACACACTGACCAGTCTATGCAACCTCATTATTCTCTAGCAGCCAGAACAGCCATTCACAGAAGATCTTTATGCTCACCCTTCGTTTCGTTATGGAAAAGGAGCACCAGAGCTCATTTCCGCCGGAGCATGGAGACATCTGAAGCATGAAAGTAGATATCATACAGCAGCTCCTGCCAGTGAGAGTAACAGCATGGCATCTCCCAGTGAGGTTGACCAGATTTCACCAGAACCTTGGGATACGGCCAAGGTCTCCTACCAGTTTTCTTCGATAACCATTTCGAGTCAGGAGATCTTCCATCAACGCTGGGAGAAAACAAATGTCATCTACCAAGGACAGTACTCTGTGTCGCCGACCAAGGTTGACCACAGCTTTGATTATGCAACTGTTGCTGCTGATGACTCTGTGCATTCAGCAGTCATTGATACCAACAAAGAGAAACAAGTAAAGAATTACAGTAGTTTCTTCAAGCTTAACTATCCATTAGCTTCTGGGTGGCAGGTTATTGCTTAAGCTTAAAAGGGTCAGGATTTCCATTTTTTTTCTTCAGAAGCTTCAACCAAATGCTTAGCCAACAGAAAACATTTTTTCCTACCTCTTGCTTTACATGTAGCGCATCATTCAGCTTGTTGGTAAAGGTTGCTTTAAAGGCTTATAAATTAAATTTTAAATAGTATTTTATGAATTTACTGGAAAAGGCACTATTCAGTTAACACTGGACATTTTTTCACATTTATCTTGCTGGGTTTCCATTTTCATTGGTAATCAGCTTTTTGATTTGTTTTTAATTATTTTTTTTTTCTTGAAAAAGGGAGAGTGGGATGCTTGTAACTTAATTTTTTGATTACTAAGTTGGGTACCAGGAAATGTCTGGGGAAGTATAGGCAGTCAACATAATGTTGACCACATTACTCATTCAGCGCTCATTGTTCTGTGGAAAATATGGATCCGGCACAAAATAGCTAATGCATCACTTCCATGAAGATGATCCTTTACTTAAATATATATAACATGAAATTGTTTCATCTTGAAATCCACTTTACAGTTGTATAGTAGCAAACTACTAATTTGTATCTTTACCTACTCACTAGCCACAAGTTGTCATTTTTAAAACTTATTGACACACCAATAAAATCAGCTGTAGATTTGACAGTACATGTAAACCAATTAATTCTAGAATGCTTAAAGTTCAAAGTCCGGGTAGGTCAACTCATTGCACCATTTGGCTTGGTCTTTCTCTGCAGAGCGGACAGCCACCTGCCGAGATCATCGCACCGAACACGTACTGTCTAGCTCGGGTGTTCCTCATTTATACTGCACATAATGAACTGAAAGACGTGCCTGGGATATAAAGTCACGACCTTTCTGAGCATGAGGAAAACAGCTTGACCATTTTGCCACAGAGACACCAAATCCTGAATGCTAAACTGTCTATGTATGGTCATCCTCTTATTATTACGCTGCATAATTTCTGAATACTTTGATGTTAGTTACACTGTCCAAATACTTAAACCATCACTCACCCAACAGACTCGGACGACATGTGTCTTCATTTACCCCTTACAGATCCAAACCCTGTCTCATTGCATCGCTAGGCAGTAGACACACTTTAAAATCTTACGTCACCATGTGTTTTCTAGGCCCAAAAATGGGGTGTTGGAAAAGGGGGAAGGGGGGGGGGGGTTTACATGTTTAAAAAAGGTAGCTAAGTTTAGGGTTTGCTGAAATTGAATGTACAGGGCTTAAAGGCAAGTTATCACAGCCAAGCTGTAAAACACAACACAGTATGTCAACTACCCTTTTAATGTCAGGCACAGAAGAAGAAGAATTGCACTGAATTCACTGCTACAGCAGGTGACACTGAAGCAGACAAATCTGTCATCCTTTTCCTCACCCCATCATGACCCCAAATCACAGGTTCCTGTTGAGACAAGTTTAATATGATCCGTTGTTGATATCATTGAAATATACTCATTGTTAATCAACTGTTTACATATATTTTATACATTTGATATTCATCAAATAACACTGAAACACAGATGTTTCACCCGTGTCATGCACACATCACAAGTGTTGTGTCTGTATTATTGATTTCCTAGTTGTTGCATGAACCTTCTTTATTGCTTTTATTTATTGCTTGATTCATTGTTTGCCTGTTTTTAGTAATAACCATTGCAGGTACTTTTGTTTTGCTACATTCAAGTCTGTAATATTCAGCAGCTTTACTAATATTTAACATAATGTTTATTGAAACTTACTAAACTCTAACAGTTTCTTCAAATGTTACATACTGTTTAATAAAATTAACATAGTGTTTACTAAAAGTAACATACTGTTTACTAAAGTTAATGTACTGCTTACTAAGACTTAACCTGCTGATTATTGTGTTTGATGACAGTAACTTCCCAGGAGTGTAATGTGAAATGTAGGCCGTGCTTGACAAAACATTACAATAAAAGTAAATACACGATTCGTCAAGATAAAATTAGAATACAATATTAAGGTTTCAGCATAAATTAAAATATGTTTGGCCCTGACTGAAACTTTCACATACCTGCATTAATTAGCATTACAAATGTATTAGTTGGTTTATTCATATTTTAAATATATTTACATAATTCTAGTTGATCATTTTTGTTCAATAATTTTATAGATTTATAGATATTGCAAGGTTACTACATACTACTGATTACAATAATTAGCTGTTTATGCATCTAAAAGGCTTTCACATTTTCTGTTAAAGATTATGGAAATAATTATCTTCTTGTTCTCACAAAGATATATTGTCATCATCATCATCATCATCTAGTTGCTTACTTACTGGTATGGGGTATCATGCTTCAGCATGGGTAGACAGAAAACATGGGTATAGCACCATATGTACATGATACCTCGTTGACATACACAAAGGTTCCTTTAATTTATGTAACGTAGACCAGATTGTGTTGGCTCTGTGGCGAACGCCTCGTAGTGCCGGGATGCCAGGTTCGATCCCAGCTGCGGGCCATGTGCCTTGCGTTGGTTTCGACAGTGGTATCAAGAGAGCCGACCATCCAGAAAGCAATGGCAAACTACTGGACATAAATTTGCCTAGAAATGCAATTTCCTGTAAGGGATACGCAATTAAGCTTAAGACCATGTTGTGGCAATATGGGGTTGCAGATCATTAGGCTTTTTATATACATCAGTTTAAAACAAAACAAAAATCGAAAATACTGAGCTATATTCTCAAATAATTTTGAATGGAGAAGATAAAAATAAAAAAACAGATTCTACAATAAATTAATATCATAGAGAACTGTCTCATAAACACCATCATATCTCAATAACTAGACCACACTGATGACACTGAAAGTTATTTTGGTTTACAAATACCAGAAGGGAAGACATGGTTCCTGTAGGGGCCAACCAGAGTGAAGGTGGACCTGTGCTATTAAAGACACCCTGAGTTTGTTAACACAGGAGGACGGGAGATTTTTTAAGAGATCCAGCATCTTTCCTTTGGGTATTGATGACACTCTGTAAGGTCTCAATATATGAAGATGTATGTACAGTAGTTAGTCAACATACTGTAACACTTACAAAAGTTAAGAAGAAAAAAACAAGAAAGGAAAAAAAAAAAAACACCAGTCTAACACCAGTCACCTCTTGATGGCCACATATGGTCATTTTTACTTCCTGGTGCCTATTTTAGGCTTAGTCGACCTGAGAGCCAAGATCAGTAAGACAACATTTTAGTTGGTGCAGATTCCAAACTAAGAGGTTCAAGCACTTAATCACCAATCATCTAATATGCTGCAAAGCCTACACATACAGTAGTACAGTGTTGATAAACAGTCATCCAAACATTCCAAGTAAAGATAGCAACAGTAAGAATAGACTTGCAATTGCCTAGTTAGGCCAAGGGTGAAATGTCAAATGTCAGTGAAGTGGCCTGTAAATTCTGCCCTTTAGTGAATGAGTTTAACCTAGTAAATGTGGGAATCAGATAGCAATTGGTGTTTAAACATCTAGGGTTAGATGTAGTCAACTCATGTCAAGTTGTGACTTGTCTCATCTATAAGTTAAAATTCCTTATTACATAAAAATTAACTGAACAGTGTGTATGTATATATTCAGATAGGTAATCAGTAAAGATAGCTGATTTTATGCATACATGTTTGTGTAACAAAATATTAGGTAAGTATTATGAAAGCAAATAGATAGATTGGTATGTATATACATGTGTATGTGTGTGACAGAAGGTGTATATACATGTGTATGTGTGTGACAGAAGGTGTATATACATGTGTATGTGTGTGACAGAAGGTGTATATACATGTGTATGTGTGTGACAGAAGGTGTATATGCATGTGTATGTGTGTGACAGAAGGTGTATGTGTATGTGTGTGACAGGTGTATATTCATGTGTATGTGTGTGACAGTAGGTGTATATGCATGTGTATGTGTGTGACAGTAGGTGTATATGCATGTGTATGTGTGACAGAAGGTGTATGCATGTGTATGTGTGTGACAGAAGGTGTATATGCATGTGTATGAGGTTAAACATGGGACCATGCCTACACATTGGTGTATTTAATAGGTGTGGATATGTGTGTGAATTTGCATGTGTCAAGGCCAGAGTATAGAAGTTTGCAATTTTGGTTAGGACAAAGAAAAGTATAAGCCATTAGTAAACATTCTAGTGTTGAGGAGAATGTTCAGCTTTATGACAGTGAGGTGCCCTGTTGGCTAGAATTCAAAAATAGGGTCATAAATATTTCATTGACATTAATTTATTATTTGATGTAAAGCATAAGCATATAATGTAAATATGTTAGTCAATAAAACACAATATAACTACAGTGCACACCGCTTAAGGTGATCTCAAATGGGGCAGATGTCTGTTAAGAAGAACAATGTGTTTATTCCTGGCAGTTTTTCTTGTTTCAACTCTTTTATCTGGATAAGACAAATTTCTATTAAGAAGAACCATTTCTTGAATCCCCGGTTAGTTCTCCTCATCACCCGGTCTGCACTGTACATTGATTACAATATATAACAAAATTAGTCTTTTTTTTTTAGAACAGATACATCAAATTGGGTAAAGTTAATTAATACATTCATCACCCAGTAAACTGTACTGTACATTAATTACAGTACATAAAAAACATTAGTCTTTGTTAGAACAGATACATCAAATTGAGTAAAGTTAATTAATACATTCATCACCCAGTGAACTGCACTGTACATTAATTACAGTTCTTTAAAAAAAACATTAGTCTTTGTTAGAACCGATACAGCAAAGTGTAAAATTAATTAAGGCATTCATCTCCCAGTGATGTTTACAATAAGTAGACATGCTTGATGGACCACTTGTGATCAGATTTTGGGTACTTTTGTGTGTGTATAGGACTACATGGATGCTCAGATCAGCAGCCAATCCTTCCATGCTGTGTACAGCC